AGATCGTAATGCTTTCTGACGGCAAAAAAGAAAGGCAGTATAACAAATTGTTCTTTGTTCACAACAAAATAAATGAGTTTAACAAGCCAACGTTTTGGCGACCGTCTGTCGCCTTCCTCAGGGCAACACTGACTGGTTCTACTTTCAACGAAACAACTGGTGAAATTATTCATGGCTGGAAAGAACGAAAGAAAACTTTGACGCCTGGAAAAAGGCAGACACATCCGCTAGTCCAGGTTACGACTTGGCCTCCTGTACAGTGTGAGAACTTGTCCCTTAAGTTCTCTTATCTCAAAACAGCGATTCTGGGGGTGGGCTCTCCTCCTGACCCTGTCTGTCTGGAAATTACAGAAATTCACACACACAGCAGGAGAGTCAGAGAGACTTAAGTAGGACTAGAAGACCTGACAACTGCCACCCTGGAACCCTGGCTGTCAACAGGTGTGTGTGTGTGTGGTGGGGGGGGGGACTGATGTGTTTCCTTAGCACAGTGGACTGGGCCGACACAGGTGGTTTGTCAATGTACAAGATGAAATATGCATTGGCAGGCAACTGTGAGTTAGCCTGGGTGCCAGTCGTCTGCCATCCTCTGTAGTTACCACTGGCTCTAACCCTTTGTAGCAAGTGAAAATGGAAAGCAAGTGGTAACTACGGAGGATGGCACCCAGGCTAACTACAAATGTCTACAAAAAGTCTATGGGCTAGATCTACATTATACATTACTATAAACCAAATTCCTTTTTTACAGTTGTGCAAAGGTTATGAGTAACAGGTCATTGCAAAGCTGGTGTGTTACACCGAAGGGCGGATATACAACTACAGATGCAACATGAAGATGAAATAGAATTTTTAAGAGTTTGCCAAAATGACAGGGAAAGATCCATCCCACACTGTATTAAAGGAATTCTTGGATTATAGGAAACCTTCCAACTTTCCCAGGGAATATTTCTAACAGGTGTGAGTGAATATATGGGAGGGGATGTAGTGTGACTTAGGGGTAAAGACAGCTGGTGGACAGGTGGTTCTCGTGTCTTCTGTCTGAGATACATCCTGCAATATACCTGCCACGTACATTTGTGTGTACATTGTAGTGACTGTGAGGAAAAAAAAAGAAGACTTTCCGTATACAAAGGTTTAGAAGAAAAGATTACAACAGCCCTTGATGAAAGGAGGGACCAACAAGAGGCAGGAAATAAACTTTAAACACAGCCAGGGAGCCCTATCAGCAGTCTGGGGTTTGTGTGTGGGAGGGGGGATGTGCATGTTTGTAAAACGGATGACAGTTTCCTATCCTTCACTGACAGACTTTCCCTACATGGTTTAACTGTGAAGAAGGGAAGTGGACAGATTTTTAAACACAGCCTGGGAAACCTGTCGTACTGTGTTACACATCTGTGAGGTTTCTGTGTGGGAGGGGGGATGTAAAAGGCTGATGACAACCCTTCCCTTCATGGCTTAACTGTGCATCAGGAAATCTTACTGAGGTCATGGCTACAACAACAGATGTATGGCCTCAGGGCTGGGAAGTCATTTTTGGCACTGGTGCCTCAGCCTACAAGTGGCTTGGTTGTTGAAAACCAGAATTGACAGGACTGCCGAGTACCTGCCAACTGTGGTCACTTTTTGGTGGTTCCATTCTAAGCTACAATGACCACCTTTCCTACAGTGATAATTTCTTCAAATCCTTTCCGTTTATGGTGTATCAAAAATCAAGACATACAAATGACCCTTTCCTCTAGTTCAGCTTTCCACAACACCTAACATCCATTTTCCCCAGACCCTTCCCCCCACGTTGCTGTCTGTCAGATCCTGCATTAGTGCCTAACCAGGCTTACCCTGGATGCCAGACTAGTATTGGGCCACTAGCCCTTTCCCTTCAGCAGCCAGAAGACCTTTGCCCGCTGGTCTAAATGACAGCTACAGAGAGTTGAGCCCAGGGGGAATTTGTCCGGCCTTAGAACTAGTCTCGTTGAAGGGCTTGTCTCCCCGTAGCGGTAATTTAGACAGGCGGGCGAAGGGCTCTTGGCTGCCGAAGGGAATGGCTAGCAGCCCGAAATGAGTTTGGCATCCAGGGTAAACCAGGTTGTTGACAGCCATGACTGACAGGTGCTGGTTGATTGACAGCTGCAGTGATTGACAGCTGTTGACAGCCATGATTGACAGGTGCAGTGATTGACATCTGTTGGTTGGTGGCAGGGAGCGTGGGAAGCTGTCAGGAGGACTCACAGACCTGGGCCTCCCTCCAGCTGCACTCAACACTCCAGGCCAGGCCGCTGAAATACCCTCCGACTAACTACAGGTCTCAAGTGTGTACAGAAGTCCACATCACTAACTATTTACCGAGAAAGGAGTGGTCTTGACGGCAAGCAAGCACTAGCAAAGAAAGCAGACATAAGAGCTTAAAACTTAAAATTTGTTTGAAATAAAATCATGCTGAAATACGCTCAGACTAACTACACGTCTCAAGTGTGTCCACATCACTAACTATTTAACGAGAAAGGAGTGGTCTTGATAGCCTGGTTACCAAACCTACATCCTCTCTGCAAATAGGAGAGGTTTTCCGTACAGCTTAGCTTTCACACGAGGTAAGATGACTGTAGACTCCTCTACAAAAGGTTAAGAATCAGTACATCTATATCTGAGTGATACAGTTGGTAGGTAAAAAAAGGAGACCTTGTGTTTCCTGTTTGAAAAAATTTGGACAGGATTCAATCTTTGCACAGGGATCTGTACAACTATAGGTTAGAAAGAAAAGGCTTGAACAAAGTATGGACATTTCTGGCCCAAGAGGCTTAAATATCTGTAAGTCTGGAAATTACTGTCCTTGTCTAGAACATGCCACAGAGGAAGGGAGAGACTAATAACTGGAACAGGTGTCGGCACAGCTGGCCTGTAAACGCAAGGGCTATCATGTCTGGTGGTTCTGTGTTAGTAAGGCCACAACAATTTCATTTGTTGGTTCTCAGATTCGCCTCTTCATTTTTCTCTGATTTCCAAAAAAACCCCAAAAGATTCTGGTTCTGAATCGACTTAAATATTTATCCCCAAACAGTTGAGGAAAGTCCTTTTCTTCCTTGTTGTTACAGTTTTCCATCTATCAATGCAGTGGTTTGATTAAAAGTTCAAAATTCATTGCTAAAATATATTCCAGCCTTTTGTGTTGACTTCAGGGCTCTTACCATAGCATTTGGGGCTATAATAGGATGCCTAGACCTGTTCTTATTTTTATTTTTTTTCGCCCTGTCACGTCATATTTTTTTCTGAAAAAATCTGAGAAACAAGAAATGAAATTTTTGTGGCCTAAAGATGAAATATGATCAGCAGACACAAATTGTCCCGAAACGATGCGTGGGCACGGTACAGGAAGCTTTGCCTTATGATGTAATGTCTGTTTCTCCAGGGCTAAACCTACCTTCTTCCTATTTTTGCGCAGGCTGAGACAGATTAATTGTTTATGTTTTCCTTAAATTTCTATCTCGATCAGCTGGGACCTGTCTGTAGTTGGTTCTGTCGCAGCCTGCCTGCAACTAGCCTGGGTGCCATCCTATTTGTATGCCGGGGCTCCCATACCCTGCCAAAATCTGACCGCATACTAGTATTCAATTTCCAGCAGATTAAGATCTAACCATTTCCAGACTATAATTTAGGGAGCGAGTATGGCAGTCCTGGCATACAAATAGGATGGCACTCAGGATATTCTCACTCACTCACTGTCCGGTTTATTGTCTGTTGTTCCCCGTCTTCTGAGGGTTAGACGTGCTTGCACAATAATACATCTGGGGCTTTCTATGCATTCTATGGCATCAAAAGTGTACAACGACCAATGATAAATGCGACTGTGTCTGTACAAAAGGCTCCACCTACGGTTTGTCCCCCTCGTGTATGATGACGGGCTCTGCGTCCAGGAAGGGGATACACTTCAGCTCCAGCAGCGCGTGGTACAGGGGATGGGTCACGAAGTCACCCACCCACTTAGCAACCATGATGGACACCATGATGGGCAGGAGGAACTGCACGTCATTGGTCATCTCCATCTGTAACCATGGAAACAGGACATAATTAGGGGATACACTTCAGCTCCAGCAGCGCGTGGTACAGAGGATGGGTCACGAAGCAACTATGATTGACACAATGCTGGGCAGTAGGAACTGCACGTCATTGTGTCATCTCCATCTGTAGCCATAGTAACAGGACATATATGACATTAATGATACATCTGTACAGGGAACTAAAGACAGCATCCTTACAGTTAGGGTCCATGGGGAAAAATCATCAAAGTGACCACCCAAAAGTGGTTCTCATGTAGAGGTGGCCAGAGAGTCAGAGAGTAACAAGTCATTGTTTTAATGTGATCCATCCTGGAAATTCTCTGTAATATTATAAATATAAGGATGAAATTCGGGTGTGTTCCTGCGAGATCCTTACATTACTGAATATAAAGATTTAATTTTATAAAACCAGACTTTACCATGATGACAGTGAGTGACATGGTGAGGCGGGAAACTCCTCCGAAGAACGAAGCGGCTCCGATCAGGGCGAAGGCGCCCGGGTCCATCCAGGCCCAGTACTCGTTCACTGTCTTGTCCATCACTCCGAACATGGAGACCATGGACAGGCCGACTATCCGCCCGTACAGCGCCCCTATTAACCTGCAAGAGGGAAAACATTCTTCAGGAAAGACGGAAAACTTCACCCTAGCCTCTACCAGGCTTTGGCAGGCGACTGGAAAGAGTAGAAATTGGCCAAACACCAGAAAGATAACATGCCCGGGGAGTTGGTCTGCTAGAGAGTACAGTTTGCTGCACCTCTCTAGCAGACCAACTCCCCGGGCATGTTATCTTTGTAGTATTTGGCCAATTTCTACAGTCTTTCCAGCCATCTCCTGAAGCCACACCAGCGCAGGCATACAAAATATGTATTTCGAGCCCTGTTAACTAAACGAATACTCACACCATGGGCACGACCAGTCCGCTTGAGATGGCAGACCCGGCGGTCCAGCAGGCTAGGAAGAAGTAGATGGCGAGAACGGCGAAGAGCGGCCCGTAGCTGAACTCGTGGTGCGTCTCCCGGGAGAACAGGTGGTGGATCGCCTCCTCTCCCGTCACAAACATCAGGGTCGCAACTGGGCAAGGATAGAACATTGGTGGTGAGTTTTTATGAATCAGTAGATCATACTGCACATACTGCGAAACACGTGCGAAACTTGCATGAGAATTTTGTACCTTACAGACCATATCTTTTCCTACACATCCTTATGTGTCATCTTTAGGCCACACCAATTTAATTTGTTGGTTCTCGGAATCGCCGCTTCAAAAAATCGCAAAATGAAAAAAAAAAAAAAATTAATTCTTGTTACTCTCATCTCATCTGCCGATTTTTTGGGCCCGAACGTCCACCCGGTACGTTCTTATTTTGCACGGTACGTTTATTAATTTTTTGGAAATCAGTAATTTTTTTCGACTACGCGTGAAAAAATCGGCAAATCTTCGACGTGAAGACGTTTATAAACGCGTATTGTAGCGAGAAACTTGTCATTTTCGGGCCGGTTTTCGCGATCGCCGCGTGCATAAATTTGTCTGAATGTTCCATTGTCATGGGTGGTGCTCATCAAAATACGAACTCCTCAAAGCTCTAAATTAGAACAAATTCTAACAAACTAAGCAAGTCATTTAATATTTACGATTTTTAGCTACCATATTGTATTTGTCGATGTCGATTTACCGCAATAAAATCAAGAAATCGGGTAAAATATTAACAGTCTTCCCCGTAAAAAATGAGATCTTCCGTTAACCCCAAATGACCTTCTTCCGCAGCGACGCCATGTTGGATATTTCTCGGCCTTTTCTACCACAGTTTTGGCTCATTTTTACGACAAAATCCCGGGTAATATCGCCCAGAAAATATCTGAAGCCCTATCTGGTTGCTAGAGAAGCACTATTTTCTAATTTTAGTGGATTTTTCCCAAAAGAAAAGCTGTCGTAATCGACGCCAAGTTACGACATGCTGGGATGGTTCGCTGGGATTTTTAGGGGCCATTTTTGAGTAATCGGCACTTCGAAATTTTGTTTACTTTTATGATACGAACGCTAGCAAAAAAAAAACGCTGCCACATCATGCCCATATTCTTTATTACCCGGTACCCGTTGGATTTTCTTGGCCAACATTTGGCAACGTACTCACGGCTGGACTCAGCGTCTCAGGCGGTGGGATTGGCATTTTGGCCGTCTCGGGACCGAAAACATGTGGACGCTGGACGCGTTAGACAGGTAGACGCAATGCAAGAGTCGATGGGAAAAATTCAAGGAACCAACAAAAAGTGGTCGTAATGGACGAGTGGTCTCTATACAGGGGTGGTCGTTATTACAGGTTTGACTGTATGTATTTCCCAACAACATGACATGTCTACATTTGTACTAGAAATGCTCTCTTTGTTGTCTATTTAAATTCCTAATTGCAAATAACAGTTAAAGATTTGTGCATAACAGTTTCTAGTATATCAGTAAGAGCACATTTAGTATAAGAGACACAGGTTACCCGTCAATTTTGGTAATTTTCCGGGGGGTAAATTTATTCCGGGGGGTATTTTTATTGGATTTTGAAAATTTGTCCGGGGGGTACGTTTATTCCGGGGGGGTATGTTTATTCGGCAGATCATTAACATCAATAATTGATCCTTGATACATAGGCTATAAAACCACCAGCAATGTTTTAGCATGTATAGTCATAGCTTTGTTCTCAATCCCTTTTCCAGCCTTAGCTTTACCATTTGGGCATGTTTTTTTTTTTTTTTTTCGCCCTGTCGCTTCACATTTTTCATGAAAAAATCCGAGAACCAACAAATTAAATTGGTGTGGCCTTAAATACGCAAATACGATATGAGACATTCTGTCTAAGTGTTATGCAAAACACAAGGTGCAATACGTTCAGATGATGACATGCTGTCAGTTTTAGCAGTCAGATTCACTCACATTTGTCGTACATGTATATGCAATTTTGTTGCAGGCTTTCAACCAACTGCAAACAGGGATCTAAGACAGCCTTTTCCACAACACAACACAACACAACACATCACAACACAACACAACACAACACAACACAACACAACACAACACAACACAACACAACACAACAAAACACAACACAACACAACAAAACACAACACAACATGATTACAAAGACTTAAGTTAAAATGCCTGATTACGCATTACAAAAAGGGAATGCAGGTTCCCAGGTGTTGCGTACCTTGGTTGAATGTCTTGTTGGTGGTGAGAGAGTTGTTGTCAAACCTGGTGACCACGCCGGGAGGGCAGGTGTAGAGAGAAACGTCATTCTCTGTGTGGATGGTGTGGTTCTCAGGCGACAGGCACTCAGGACTGGGGGGACACAAATCAAGACATTTTATCTATTTATTCCATTTTACATAGCATGGACAGAAAGCACATAATGTGCTAAAACTGTTTACTCATTAAGTTGGCTAACAAATACAAAATGTACAGTGCAAATAAATTGAATAGGGATATAATATTTGCATTCCATGTGTTAGTTTATACTTCTTGTCAAGTTCAAAACTGAGGTGGTTTACCTGTTATCCATTTTATAAAACAAAAAAGAAAACAACAACATACCTCCTGATGACATCGTTGTGAGAACTGTAGCAGGTGAAGGGACTGCAGCGGAACGCAGCCGGCAGGAACACTGAGGCTGTCACTGTGAGGGTCTGCATGGGGGGATACAGTTTTGTGTTATTGGCAACACCTGTGAGAACTGTAGCAGGTGAAGGGTCTGCATGGGGGGGATACAGTTTTGTGTTATTGGCAACACCTGTGAGAACTGTAGCAGGTGAAGGGACTGCAGGGGAACGCAGCCGGCAGGAACACTGAGGCCGTCACTGTGAGGGTCTGCATGGAGGGATACAGTTTTGTGTTATTGGCAACACCTGTGAGAACTGTAGCAGGTTCACACACGCGCACACACACACACATACACAAACTCACACACACACACACACACTCACACCCACGCGCACATGCACATGCACACACACACACACACACACACACACACTCACAGATACTCACTCACTCAAAAAATCAATCAGATAGATAAATACACTAGAGACTCACAATAATGATGCAGAGTTCGGAGACGCGGACGACTTTCCTCTTCCAGTCGTCGGACAGTTTAGCGAGCAACGCTCGGCGGCCGCGGACGATCTTCAGGTTACAGAAGGTGAAGAGCCCGCCCAGCAGGCCACCGAGCACGCCCAGTACAACCGTCGGCACGAACGCCAGGATGTTCACAGGGATCTCGTTACGGACCTGCAACAAGAATTTGTGACACTTTAGGAACACGTAATGAGATACAAAAGGCAATACATGTTTTACCTTCACAGTCATGGTCTAGCCTAACTACTGCTCTGTTCATTCTTGCCAGGATGTTCACAGGGATCTTGTTACAGACCTGCAGCAAAAATTCAGGAATCAGAAAAATGTAATGACATGCAAAAAGGCAATACACGTACATGTACATAATGTTTACCTTCACTCTTCACACGGTCTAGCGTAACAAACTACTGCTCTGTTTATTTATTTATTTTATTCACATTTATTTTGTTTCTTTGGCAGGTCGCTTAATGGGGAACTGGCAGAAAGTGGTCGTTATGGCTGCTTGGGCAGGTATAACCGCGCCAGGGTGCTTCTATCCACATGTAGGTTTATATCTGCTTTTACTTATTTGAAACAGAACATATTTTTTGGCCATGAAGATGGGATTTGAACCCCTAACCACTTGAACCTCACCTGAAACAGGATGTATTTCTCAGCCCTGAATAGCCCAAAGCTGCTCTTGTACTGGAAACTGTTGTGTTATGCCGAAGGGCGATTATACCGGCTGTACCAATACAGATACAGACACAGAACCTCACCTGAAACTGGATGTACTTCTCTGAACTTCAGTGGGATTCGTACCCCTAACCTTGTGAACCTCACCTGAAACAGGACGTATTTCTCAGCCCTGAAAATGGGATTCGAACCTGTAACCTTCTGAACCTTACCTGAAGCAAAATCTATTTCTCGTCCCTGAAGAGAGGATTCGAACCCGTAACCTTGTAAACCTCACCTGAAACAGGATGTGGTATTTCTCTGTCCTTGGATTCGAACCCCTAACCACACAAACCTCACCTGAAACAGGATGTATTTCTCGAATCTCGACCCTGATGAAGATGCTCGAGATTCGAACTCCTAACCACTTGAACCTAACCTGAAACAGGATGTATTTCTCGGCCCTGAAGAGCCCAAAGCTGCCCTTGTACTGGAAACTGGTGTGTTACGCCGAAGGGCGGTTATACCGGCTGTACCAATACAGATACAGATACAGAACCTCACCTGAAACAGGATGTACTTCTTGGCCCTGATGATGGGATTCGAACCCCTAACCACTTGAACCTCACCTGAAACAGGATGTATTTCTCGAATCTTGACCCTGAAGATGCTCGGGATTCGAACCCCTAACCACACAAACCTCACCTGAAACAGGATGTATTTCTCGGCCCTGAAGAGCCCGAAGCTGCCCTTGTACTGGAAACTGGTGAAGGCTGAGTTGAAAAGGTCGGTGGTGAAGGTCGCGATCATGCAGCAGAAAAATGTCTGCCACGTCAGCTTCATGTTCCAGAACGACGAAACCTGGGAAGAAAGGGAAGGAAAGAAACATTTTGGGTTGATAAACAGTTAAATTTCCTTTCCAAATTGCTAATTTCTTTAAAAAAATGTCAGCCATATCTGCCTCATACCCATGACATCTTGGTCTCATGTCTGCTAGCCACTATAACCACTCAGCAATTTGATGCCACACAAACACAGACCCTTACATATGCACCCTGACCTCTCGACATTATAAATGCCATTTTAGATTATCCATATCGTTTTTATGTATATTCATATAGTTTTTAAGTACCAAGAATAGAGTTATAGATTGTTATGCTTTCCACATCAAATTCCACTTTGTCAGCAAATCTAACAATTTGCAATAACTATAGACTACTTGGGCTGCCCTGGCTGTTTGTGTTGATCAGCCAAACCAAGAAATAAAAAAAAAATAGAACACAGATGATAAGATACATGTATGTTACTCACCTCCTCCATAGCAAACAGCAAACCTCCGACGGGCGCTCCGAATGCAGAAGCAACACCAGCGCCGGCCCCTGCCTGGATAAAGTTCCTCCTGCAACAGTTGAGGAAAACATACATGTGAGCTCATTTCATAGCAGATCAACCATTTGAAATCATCAAATCAAAAACTAACAGTAACAGCTGAAGTTTCAAAAAAGTTTAAGTCCTTCCCACACCATGTGGTGCATATGACGGTGCCCATCTTCAGTTCAGTAGCCCTTGGGCCATCACTACTGTAACAGCTGGGGGCTATAGTGGTGTGCGTTTTTAACTCCAATACTCAAATGCTGAATGCTAAGCAGAGAAAGCAGTTTAAAAAAAAAAAGAGAAAGCAGTCTTTGGTATAACTTGTCTGGAAGGGATCAAACTCATGACCTACCAAATGCAAGGAGAACACTCTACCCACTTGGCCATTGCTTTGGTCAACAGTTGAAGACAGAAACAGAAATCTGATGCCAAACAGCAGCTTTACCACACACCAGGCACGGCAGTAGTCTCACCTGTCTTCCGAATTCCTGAACCTCTGGAAAAACGGCAGCGCAAACCCGAGAGTTCCCGACCGGAACTGGCTCAAACCGGCTCCAATCAGGCCGCTGGGGGAGAAACAGGATCAGACATTACAGAATCTTTCAATTCATGGTACCGTAGTTATCTGAAGTCATGCCTTCAAATATCAGAGTTATCAACCAAGGATTGAGGTGTTCAAAAACTCATTCTTTCCTACAACTATTGCAGAGTGGAACTCACTACCACCAAGTGTGGTTGGGGCATCATCATCATTAGATAGCTTTAAAAAATATTTAGAGTTTAATGTTGAACGGTTACAAATTTACAATGTAGGTGTAACAAGTTGGTAATGTAGTCAGCTGCATGCCTGTGAAGCTGGTGTGTTACGCTGTGATATACTGGCTACACAGATACGGAAGCTGGTGTGTTACGCCAAAGGGCGGTTATACCGGCCATACAGATACAGAAGCTGGTGTATTACGCCAAGGGGTTGCTATACCTGCTATACAGAAACATCTGATTTCTTAAGAGAATTTTTCTAGTTGCCAGACTCACCCCATGTGAATCATGGGCCCCTCCGGCCCCACAGGCAGCCCGCTGGCCACGGCACAGGCACAGGACAGGAACTTCACTGCAAACGTCTTCACGTTAAAGATGTGCCGAACAACCGTCCCGTTCAGAAACCCGATCAGCTCAGGCATACCAGAGCCCCCTGCTGATGGCCGGAAGTACTGCAGGGCAAAAAAATCAACACTGGGTGGTTACTGCTATTTCGAATTTACTGGAATATAACTAACATATACCGGTTGTATTTTAGCCAAACAATGGATCCACAAAACCAACTTACTTACATATTCTGACACTAGGATTAGCAAAAATATTTTCTGATACACACTGTTACCCTGTAAGTGTAATCTTTACAACTCCTTTGTAGATGTAAATGCAATTTAACACCAGAAGGTATTGCCACATACATGTATAGATAGTATTAAGGCAACCAACTACTGGTAACCCATTTGTCTGGGCATGGAGGTTTCTACCTCCATGGTCTGGGGCAACCATTTTTCCTCAGCAACCACTTTCCCTCTGTCCCTCAAGTGGTTGCTGAGACTAGGTTTTTCTAACAACAGAATCAACTAAAAGCTCCTCACCACGACCAGAACGGACCCCACTATAACCAGCAGCAGACTGATGCCCAGAACCCAGATGTACGCCACGGCTATGTCTCCATCCTGTAGGGGAAGGGAAGGGGAGGTAATATGTCAGTATAATATTTTTTTTAACCACCACTCTATAGGAACAGGGGAGTGGATATGTCAGTACAGGTCAATGGATTCACAGTGCAAATTCAAGTGTGGCAACCCATGTATTGTAAATAAAGGACAATATTTTTCAAAATGCCGAAAAGATTTAATTCTATCACTGATTGTAAAAAAAGCACTTTCTAATCCCATACGGTTGATTAGTCTTGAATTACGCTTGTTGTTATATGTATTTCAAAATCCAGTGGTCTTACGGTACTTGGTGGATTTCTTGCCTTGTTTTGTGATCTACATCTACATTTACATGGTTACTGGGCAGTAAATAGAATACAATAACATAAAAGAAAAAATAAACGAGAAGAAAACTTGACGAACCCTGATGAAGTCTTCAGCTTTCTCCCACTTGTACTCAGAGATGATCTCGATAATCTGGTGAAGCAGGAACCCCAGAAACCCCACAGAGAACCCAATCAGACCCATCATCACCCAGCGGTCCCAGTCCAGCCTATGGGAGAACAGTATTACAGCACTGAGGCCTTTATGGGGTTTTTGTTAATAACAACACGACTACCAGGCTACATAGATGTATCATAAAAATATCATATTGACAATAGAGACATTCACAATGATGATTGCAGTTCATTCAATTATCCATCCATCCATCCATCCATCCTTTCATCCATCCATCCTTCCTTCCTTCCATCTATTCATTACCTTCTTCACAACCTCACACATTCATTATTCATCTGTTCAGTCACTTTTTTCTGCCATTCCGAGTCTTCGGACACCATGCCAAAAGTTCACCGGCCAGCTGCACTTTGATCAAAAGTTGCTAGGTGGCGCTGCTATACAGTGCACCTAAATGTGTTTGTGTGTTACCTGCTTGGCTGCCGCTTGATCCAGTTTTTGTAGGCGAAGCTGTGTGACGGCAGGTAGTCCAGACTGTCAAATTTTGACAGTTCCTCGCGCTCCTGTGTGGTATAGCGGTGGTTCACGTACACACTCTCAAACTCTCGCCCACGGGCAAAGAAACCCTCTGAAACAGAAAGGAGCATTAACTGTATTAACTGTCGTGGGGTCATGTGGCGCAGTCGGTAGCGCGTTCGGCTCACACCCCAGAGGTTGCGGGTTCCAACCCTGCTCATGTCACTGATCTTGTGCCCTTGGGAAAGGCACTTCACACGACTTTCCTCACTTCACTCAGGTGTAAATGAGTACCTAGCTTCGGTTAGGGACGTCCCACGGATAGGACGTTAAATGGAGGTCCTGTGTTTGGGACAGCCACACCCCATGCACGTTAAAGAACCCACCGCACTTATCAAAAAGAGTAGGGGATCTTCCCGGTGTGAGTGGTCAAAACCTTACAGTCCGGTCTTACGCAGCTTGTACATGTACGTACATGTACAAAACTGGTGTGTTACGCCTAAAGGCGGTTTACCGGTTATGCGAAACAAACAAACAAGATGTAGCCTGAAACGTACTCCAATCAGCTCAAAACCTATGCGCCTCACCCACTCTGCGGCATACCAGCTGCCTTAGTGCAGAACCCTTTACAGAGATAAATCCTTCTTCCTGCACACCATATTCTGTTGATATGATAGGAGCCAGTTTTGTGCCAGTTCTTCTTCTACTTCTACACGATACAGGACAAAATTCGATTTATATTTGCCAGTTCTAGAGGCCTCTTACTTCAACCCCATTTTCTTTAGAACCCCAGACAATCCTTGAGCACTTCTAACATATTTACTAGTACTTTAAACAACTCAGATTAGGTAATAACGTAACTGCACTTAGGCATGGGGGGGGGGGGGGCATTGGCTCTGGGCGGGGTCTAGTTCAGACCAGTTTTTAATACCAAACAAAGGCCTGTCACACTGCCAAAGTAAAAGTACGAGCACTGTCGTTACTCCTGAGCTTCTCACCTGACGTGTCTGCGTGCGCCAGGTGCACGTCGTCCACGGAAGGCACCTGAGATACGCTGTATGTGTGCTTCTTACGCCGCGACCGAACCTCCGCCATCTCTTCTTCTTCAGTCGTCTTGGAAGAAAAATACACTCACTATTTACCTCCTCAAGGGCTTTGGTGGTTCTTAAGAATGTTGTGTACAACTCTAAGGCTCATGCGGGAATGACAAGGGGAGGAATTTATGGATAAAGGAGTATTAAACAATCAGAAAAGTTTTCTGTGTCAACTAGTCCGCCATGTTGGATTTTGTGCACTTTTGAGGTTGCAAGGTTTGGTAAATCCGCTAGAGGCGCTGTTTCGAAAGATCGAAATAATGCACCTAGCGGATTAGTAGAACATTGCATCCATTTGTTTCCCGCCTCCGTATATTTTCATAGGGCATGTGAGCAAAGGAACGAATGATTAAATTTTAATTGATAAAGATTTAGATGTAGTATTTAAATCATAGATCTATAACGTTATATGCCCCTACAATGTGATCATCTATCTCATATAACTCATTGAGATATGTTTTGAATCTGTGGTATGAATGTTTATTCTTTCATTTGTTGATCATCTGAACAGAAACTCTCAACATTACCATAGGACCCTAGGATTGATTTGATTATTGAAATTGTAACAGTGCAATACACATGGGACACAGGCAGCTGTTGTTGGTGATGTGTCCCACACATAGAACAGACACATAAAAACATATAAGTTAGATACTATACAAGTTCACTTTGTGTTCATCGTTAGTCACTGAACACTTCAGTAGAAAACGACATGCAGTGACACTGTAATGTTACCACTCTGCCAGGCTGTCTCTACCAGGCAGTTGGTCCACTAGAGTACTGTTACCCGGGTGCGGCAAACTGTACTCTCTACCGGACCAACTCTCTCGGCATGTTATATCTCTTTCTATTCGGCCAATTTCTACTCTTTCCAGCCGCCCTGCGAAGCCTAGTAGAGGCTACTTTTTTTTTAGCAACATCGGGTAAAATCTTACCATGATGGTGGTTCCAAACGACTTGCACTCAGTTAGGCCCTCCTTTCAGATCAGCATTTGTTCGCATATCAGCAAAAGCCTGCCTTATATATCGTAGTGTTCACATATGGGAAAGCAGAACTTCATGTGATCAAAAAGGGAACGGACTATTCAATCAACTTGAACATTTGTTTGTTTTTGGCGTGTGTTTGAGTTCAATGGGGATCTAACGTTACTTCTCTTTTGAACAATAGTCTACGGAATGCAGAACATGCTATAGAAATACGATATCGTCGTGGAAAAAAGAGAGAAACGAGGTCTTGTTCCTTTTCATGTCGTAGGAGGATAAATGCATTCATGAATGTGTAAAATTGGTGCAATTAAATTAAGTTCTGTTGGTTAGTGCAGCTGCATATGCCAGTGTAAGTACAGAGAACAAACAATCAAGTTGTTATTATTATTATTATTAAGCACACATACACATTCTTCAAAATTACTATGAATTCCTTTATTTCTTATATAGAATATAAAAAGGTCAAAGACATATAACTATTCACATTAAAAATCACATATGAAATATTTGATTGCACTTGGTTTTTGTGATGGCGAACCTGCTTATGCTGCTATTTGCAAATACAAGCAAAACATTTTCAGGTAAGTTCATCATTCATTCATTGTTTTAATCAATCAATCAATCAATCAATCAATCAATCAATCAATCAATCAATCAATCGTTCATTTTTTCAATCATTCGTTCATTTATTAGTTTATTCATATGTACTTCCTTTCCTTCCTTCCTTCCTTCCTTCCTTCGAATTCCTTCCTTCCTTCCATTCTTCCTGCCTTCCATCCTTCCTTCTTGCCTTCATTGTTTCAATAATTCGTTCATTCATTCAAATTCGTTTAATAAAATTACCATTTACTCATTCATTCATTCATTCATTCCTTTATTTATCTATCCATCCGATCGTTCATGTAAACGTTTTTCCCGTAGTTTTAGTGATGGTGAAGTTGTCCACCGGCCGTCCGTCTGCGCTGTGTATGTAGGAGAAAGCGAGCGCGGTAGAGTTCACCTCCATCAGCGTCCAGCCCGTGCGGACGGTCTCGGAGTTCCTTCCTTCCTTCCTTCCATCCTTCTTTCCTTCTATCCTTCCTTCCATTCTTCCTTCCATTCTTCCTTCCTTTCAGCCTTCCTTCCTTCCATCCTTCCTTCCGTCTTGCCTTCATTGTTTCAATCATTCGTTCATTCATATTCATTCATTTAATAAAATTACCATTTACTCATTCCTTCCTTCCTTCCTTCCTTCTTTCATTCATTCGTTTATATTTCCCGGCGTAGTTTTAGTGATGGTGAAGTTGTCCACCGCCCGTCCGTCTGCGCTGTGTATGTAGGAGAAGGCGAGCGCGGTAGAGTTCACCTCCATGAGTGTCCAGCCCGTCAAGACCGTCTCGGAGCAGCCACGAGCATTCCTTCCTTCATTACTTCTTTCCTTCCTTCCATCCTTCCTTCATTCCGTTCATCCTTCCTCCTTCCTTCCTTCTTGCCTTCATTGTTTCAATCATTCGTTCATTCATTCATATTCATTCGCTTAATAAAATTACCATTTACTCCTTCCTTCCTTCCTTCCTTCCTTCATTCATTCATTCATTTTTGGAGTTTTAGTGATGGTGAAGTTGTCCACCGGCCGTCCGTCTGCGCTGTGTATGTAGGAGAAGGCGAGCGCGGTAGAGTTGACCTCCATCAGCGTCCAGCCCGTGCGGACGGTCTCGGAGTTCCTTCCTTCCTTCCATCCTTCCTTCCTTCCACCCTTCTATCCTTCCTTCCTTCCCTCCTTCCTTCCATCCTTCGAAATTCCTTCTTTCTTGCCTTCATTGTTTCAATCATTCGTCCGTTCTTTCATATTCATTCATTTGTTAAAAATTACCCATTTACTCATTCTTTAATTCATTCCTTCTTTCACTCACTCATTCATTTATTCATTCATTCCTTTGTATTTCCCTTAGTTTTAGTGATGGTGAAGTTGTCCACCGCCCGTCCGTCTGCGCTGTGTATGTAGGAGAAAGCGAGCGCGGTAGAGTTCACCTCCATCAGCGTCCAGCCCGTGAGGACGGTCTCGGAGTAGCCACGGGCATTCTTTCCTTCCTTCCTTCATTCCTTCCATTCTTCTTTCTTTCTTTCCTTCCATCCTTCCTTCCTTCCATCCTTCCTTCCTGCCTTCATTGTTTCAATCATTCGTTCATTCATTCGTATCCATTCGTTTAATAAAATTACCATTTACTCATTCTTTCATCCCTTCCTTTCTTCTTTCATTCATTCCTTTGTATTTCCCTTAGTTTTAGTGATGGTGAAGTTGTCCACCGGCCGTCCGTCTGCGCTGTGTATGTAGGAGAAGGCGAGCGCGGTAGAGTTCACCTCCATCAGCGTCCAGCCCGTCAGGACGGTCTCGGAGTAGCCGGCCCGCCAAGGCGCCAGGAACCCCGGCACGTACGTGGGGTCGTTACCCTCGGGACTGCCTGCGGAAACGGCGGGAAGGTTTTTTTTATTCTACCTACCCTGTTCTCAACTGTCATTAACTGCTTCCGAAATTTTTCAATAAGGCTTCATGTACCAAGCAACCAAGACACCAACCAAAGGCCAGGAAAGCCAGGCGGACAGACAAACATCAAACATACATACATACAGACAGAGGGCAGGCAGGCAGCCAGCCAGCCAGCCAACCAACCAACCAACCAACCAACCAACCAACCAACCAACCAACCAACCAACCAACCAACCAACCAACCAACCAACCAAGAAAGAAAGAAAGACGTTACCTGCGGCCCCGGTGACGATGTGCACGGTTGCGGCGGGGTTGTGGTAGCTCCTGGCGGTAACGTTACCCTGAGAGACCGGCCAGGACCGCTCGTACTGGTGGTTGTGTCCGCAGACGTAAACGTCCACGCGGTAACGCTGGAGAAGCGCCTCGAAGTCGCTGCGGTACTTCTCTGCCTCCTTCGTGCACCTAGAGGAGACAAAAATAACATTATCACAATAAAGACACTGGGAGTGATAAAATGTAATCTCGCACTCGCACGGCTGTCAGACTGTTTGCTGACTGGGACCCTTATCTGTTGAACTGTCCCGTAACAAGTTCGAACTGTTACAAAGGGAGCTTAAGATTCTACAGCCCCCAACTATGGAATAACCTGTCACTGAAACAACGTCAGACTTCGGGATTGATAAAATTAAAAAGAACAAACAAACAAACAAACAAACAAACAGACCTGGTTGTCTTCAATCTTTATTCATTAAGGAACTCGCGGGCAACACACCCGAATTACGTCCTTGTTACACCAGTCACATTAAACACATTTACATTTTAAAACGAATCATCACATAGGTAAAATCTCAATATTAAGAACATCACAAATAACATGTCACAGTTAAACATATGCTGTGCCTGGCGCGATTACCAGATGTCCAATTACTCAGTGCTAATTGTCTTGTTGTAAAGACGGATTGCGCAATGGAGGAAAGAATTTCTTAGTCTCTCAGTCCGGGCCCTTGGTACACTGATAGTGCTAGAGTTTCTAAGTGTCCGTCCCGTGGCACCAGACCTTGAGGGCGGTACCAGGTCATGTAGAGGGTGGTTCTCCTGAAGCATGCGTTGGAGCAGGTGTACTGCCGCATCTTCCCTCCTCGACTTCAGTGTGGGCAGGTCAGGCACGCTACGCCTTCCTCCCAAGGAAATGATACGCAAGGCCCGGCGCTGGACCCTTTCGATGGCCAGTTCTTGCTCCTTACTACACCCGACCAGTAACACATGTCCGTATTCGAGCACTGGCCGGACTAGCGCCAGATAAATCTGGATTAGGTCGGTAACGCTAGTGCCTTGTTTCGTTAGTAGGCGCATAGGTGGGTAATCCAGAGAATGGCGGAGGAGCAGTAGAGCGGCCTGTGTCCGAACACAAACAAACAAACAAACAAACAAACAAACAAACAAACAAACAGACCTGGTTGTCCAGAGAATGGCGGAGGAGCAGTAGAGCGGCCTGTGTCCGAACACCAGGATCCACGGAGTCCGGGCGCGGTTCTGGTCAGCCGTCCGGAGGTCCTGCTCCAACCACCTGTTGGAACACTGCACGGTTTAACCTCCAAGCAAATCGTTGGGAGTCAAAATACAGTATACGTATCAAATTGTCTAGGCAGAATCCATTGGCCATTGTCCAATACGCCACCCTTCCCTCTCTGGCGAATGGATACTGCCTGCCAATTTGGTACTGTATTTTGCCACCCTAGGATCTGCTTAGAGATTACACATCGTTAGCATGTCACGAAACAAGTTTTATATGCCAACATGTAATCACAAGACGTGGTGACCGCACACTCAAGTTTTTTCAACTTATATTAATGCCGCCACCAACACAGGGGAAAATACAATACTCATTTTCACCTGAGTGAAGTGAGGAAAGTCGTGTAAAGTGCCTTTCCCAAGGGCACAAGATCGGTGGCATGTCAGGACTCGAACCCGGGACCTCTTGGTTCCGATCGAGTCGAGCACTCTGCCGCTACGCCACGCGACCACACACGAAACAAGTTTGAACTGTAACTTCCAACATTGGGAAGATTGGGTTAGGATTACCCACCTATGCTGGGTGGAGTTGGCGCCCAAATCGTGCTCGGTCGAGATGCCGACGAAGTGCACCCCGAGGTAGTCGAACGAGTAGTAGTATGGGGACGAGGACCCGCTCTCGTTCGCAGGCATGTGCAGCCAGTTCCGGTAGGCGGCGAAGTCAAACTAAAAAAAAAGACATCCGAGATTTATTTGCTCATTTGTTCAATTGTTTTTTCCCCGACAAGAGCTTGTTGTGACAGACCCTAAGTGGGTATACCGATATCCCTAGTCACTGTGTGGCTAGACTCACTTCCTTGCACACACGCACGCACGCGCGCACACACACACACACACACACACACACACACACACACACACACACAAAAAAAACGTTCATGGTCTACGAACGATATGAATAAATGACTAAACCTGATTTATGAATGAATGAGTAAACATGATTTATGAATGAATGAAGCGTCACCTGTCTCTCGTGGTTCCCAGGACAGGTCATGTAGGGCAGGCGGGCCGTGACGTCCTGCAGTGACGTCATGTAGCCGTCCCAGACCCAGGAGTTGTTGCCGTCCCCGCTGCCGAACGTCGTCCCGAAGTTGTCGGCGTAGCTGACGTCACCCGCGTGCAGGACGAAGTCCAGTTCGCCCTGGTCTAGCTGATAGGATGGGACAGAAAATATGAACAAGACTGGCAATGAAAACATTCATTGCCATGACGACGGTGGTTGCTGTTAGGGTTATTGTTTGCAGGGCACTGCCATGATGTCATGATTTCGAGGAAGCCTTGGTACCTGTTAAGTCTAGACAGATACAGTGCACTCCTCCCCTGAGTGTATAGTGAATGAGCCCCGGGGTCACAGAAAGTAGAGCCATCCGGGCAGACAGGTTTTCCCAGGGGTTTCCAGGAATGTGGGCATAGATGTGGGTCAGAAACATGCCTGTGGACATTCCATGCCTGTGGACAAAATGCCTGTACCATTCCTAGAATTCTTGCACACTGCACACAATACTGTACCATTAGGCTCCTCCCTGAGACGTCGCTAAAAACGTTTTACGGTAGCCTCCTCTGCAGGCTCCGTGGTGGGTGGGAATTTTGATACAGCGTGAATTTTGAAGTGTTTTAACGCGTTATTTTAATAGCCGACGTAGGAATGGGACCTTCTCCCGGCGGCTATGTAGGATGGCCGGCTATTAAAATAACGCGTTAAAACACTTCAAAATTCACGCTGTATCAAAATTCCCACCCGCCCCGGAGCCTGCACAGGAGGCTAGTTTTACGGCACAACAATTGTACTACAAGAAATACAAAGTCCAACTCGCCCTGCCCTGGTCTAGCTGAGAAGATGGTACAGAACAGGTGAAAAACGTTTTATTTGCACAACGAGTGTACGTGTGTACTACAAGGAACACAAAGTCCAACTCTCCCTGGTAGTAGCTGATAGGATGGCACAGAAAATATGAAAAACGTTTTATTGCACGTCGACTTTTGTTTCTTTTTGTACTTCCAAAAAATTATCTTAAATTATTTGCATATCGATCAATAGTTTGTGCTTATAAACCTGCATCTCTCCTCTGTTAGTATGGGGCAGAACACATGAAAAGCGTTTTGTTTGCACAACTATTGTACTACAAGGAATGCAAAGTCCAGTTATCCCTGGTCTAACTGACGCAAGGAGGGAAAGACACTACCTCCCGCGGCCGGACTCCCTTGGCCAATTTTACTCTCTTTTTTGCCGAATTCTACGACCCATATTCCTGTAGAAAGGCCTGGTGGAGGCTAGAGTTCCAGTACCTGATGCAGCATGGACTTGACAGTGAAGGAGTCCTCCTCTATCCCCATGTCTGCGATCAGGGCCACCCTCCCCACTCTCTCACCACCTGCAACAAAATTATCACATTAGTACACAGAAATAGGGACACTGTACTACGTTTTATCTACGGTTATGATTAATTTACATGCTTCTTCTATCTTATATGTTATATCTAGAACTACACAAGACGAATTCACAAAGTTTTCCAATTACATTGTAGTTAACTGATGACATTATAAGAAAAAAATGCCATCCCTAGATACTCGTATTTGTACATACTAGTATTTCTGTTCTAACTGTATCTTATCAACAATGGTATTACCTATATCACTACACACCGGGTATTATAAGTATACTTCGTCTATGTTCTCAACACAAATATACATAATTTCATAATTTTTAAGACACAGGTCTCACCTGCAAAAGTGCGTCCAGGTGATCCGTTGGCCGACGTCTCGGAAGTCACACCTTTCCGTAGCGTCTCGGGGTGCACGGTGACGTTGTACGTCGGGCCCATGATGTAGTTGAGGTCGCCGCACCTGTAGCTGACGATGACGGGAAGACTTCCGGGTTCGTACGTCATCACCGCCTCGTTCAGAGTCGCTTTGAAGTTTCCCGCCGCGTAGGTGTACGCCCGACCCCCCGCGACGCTCGCCGTCTTTGAGGGCCTCCGTCCGTCTTTCAAGAAGAATGAAAATGTTTATTGTACAAACATACCTACTGGGAATAGCTTGTATATGCATACACACACACACACACACACACACACACACACACACACACACACACACACACACACACACACACACACATATATATATATATATATATATATACACGATCAAGCTAGCACTAGCGCTATAGTCTATAGCTTTTTACCTAAATTTGAGTTCTCCTAGCTTCTCTATGATGGTGAAAAGATACGAGCAAACATGTTTAAGGACTTTGAAAGGTTTACCTCTGTCTGGTTTACTGTTCTCCCCACAACGTCCGTTTCTTGCGGCTAGAGGGACGCCGGTGTCGTCGCGTTTTTCCGGTGAGGGGAGGACCGTGTACTCGCACTGCGGTCGGAAGTCGGACGCCTTGGTGAACGGCACGGGGTTCATCCACATGGCTCGCACCTGCCCAACACCTGCCAGGCTCAGGTGAAGCGCCTTCACGCCACCTGCGCGCACCTGGGGGGCACTTCCAGGTGAGACGCTTCCGCGTCGGCCAGGATTCAGCGCCGAGTCCCCAGCCTGCCCACCTGGTCCGGCCTGAGACATGTACACCTGTCCCACCGACTCGGAACGCTGAACGACGTCCGTGAGTTTCCTCGTCTCACCTGCGAAGACGCAAAGGTGAGATGGAAGTCCCGCATGGCCGCAAAGGACGACCAACAAGAACAACAACACTTCCGGGTTCTTCATGCCCAGCAAGGTCTGTCAACAAAGCTTCGCGAAACGACGTAACTTTACGTGACAAAGACGCAACTTTACGTGGCCAAGACGTGACTTTACGTGGCCAAGACGTAACTTGACGTGGCCGAGACGTAAGCGTACAGGCGTTACCTTTGTGTGAAGGACATACCTCTGGAGTCTGGACTCTGAACTTTGAACTGGGGGCAAAGTTCGTTCGGCGCGAAGTTATGATTCCCACGCCTGTACGATGCGCCTTTAGCCACCCCTCCGGTCAGCAACACAGCCCGCATAATCAAATTACTGAGTGACCTTAAGGTCAAGGCTGTGGATGTCTAGCCTCCATGGCATGCCAAAATCTGGGGGTTTGGGAAGGGGGGTCTTCAGGGTGTTTGGGAGCTTTTATGTGCTATTTTCTTATTGCATATAGACAACATAGCCGGCCTAGTTGAATTACCCCCGTTTCAGAACTGGGCTAATCAGAAAACAGCCGAAGACCACCAAACCCCCAGTTCTACGAGTATAAGCCTGCTACGGAGGCTACGTAAGGTCGAGGCTGTGGATGTCTTCTAGTGACAATACAGGTTGTCACAATGAGGATTATGCTACGAAGTGCGTATATTACCTGATAAAAAATAAACTAAGTAACTGGAAAAGTTATCCGAGGAGTCAGACGATTCGGGAACCATCCACCATCTCGTATCACGTACACGTGTACATCGGCAGCGTAAGGCCACGAGTCTGAGTACGTTACTAGTATGTAATGTATATGTTGATGGCCAGAGGCGTCGATCACCAAACGCGCATAAAGAATAAGATAACTGGCTAACGTCTCTGAGAAGGCAGACGTTTCGGGCACCATCCACCATCTCGTATCACGTACATGTGTACATCGGCAGAGTAAGGCCACGAGTCTTATGTAACGTGTATGTTATGTAATTGATGGCCGGAGGCGTCACCAAAAGCGCATCGTGGCAGCGTGAGAAAGTGTAGAAAGTAACGGTAAAGGTGATGGACGACAGAGGATTTCGCTTTGAAACGTTTCAAATAAACGACTCCACAGATAATTTTTTTCAGTTTAAGGTTTGATGTATGTTATATAATGTTCTACCGGGATATCTAACCTTAAACGACGTAATGCGCATGTAATTCTAGGGGCAGACTGCAGACGTGATATCACAGCAGCTTGATACGACTTGTTTCATACGACGTGTTTTACACGAATGGTTGTACTGATGTTGCTGACCATATTAGTATGTTTATATAGGGTTTTCTGAGTTGATCACATTGTCCTAAGGCGGGCACAACGAAGTAAGGATAGGGTGTCGTCATCGTCAACTCGTGAAAAATTATCTCTCGATAACGAGTTCCATCGAGTACATTTTGGTAAATGTCATAAATACATTCATAGAGTACAAAACTTTATGGAAACGGTAGAAGAACTTTATTTCATGCGCAAATTTTACTTAACCGAGGCTTGGGAACCGCGCGGCTCAAAATCTCCGCGTTTCTAACCAACACCTGAGTGAATTGCGTAACCTGTTGACAAAATGTGGCCGGCCGAAGGGAGGGTTTTCAAGGTGAGGCTTAATTGTCGGGGGCTTTTGTCTGAGTAATTTGCAGAAAGGTCAGCCTGTATAATTCTCACGCCGTTGTTGTCATAAAGAGTTTAAGTCTTCAAGCCGAGCGGGTGTCACAAACACGAGCTCACTACTCCAAATCTTGAGATTTCCGAGAAGAACAGAAACTCCTTGACGGTGAGCACGCTAATTTCGTCTTCATAGACGTGGTGAATTCGGGGTCTTTAGACTGGGGTGATGCTCGTAGCCGTGCCGGCGGTAGACCAGGACACCGGCGGGGCAGGGTGGGGTGTGTTGCCGGCGGTGGGCCCGGGTGTGCCCGCAATGGAATCGGGAAAGGGTCCTGGGCTGGAGGAGGGTAGGGGAGGGAGCCTGGTTACCCTCCTCAACGGGCCGGCTTGGGGTTGTTCCGGCCGACCCTACTTTATCTGACACAGGGCTGTATCCTACCTACCTAGTTCCATGACCGACACTGGTCGTCGGGGGGACAAGGCAGACCTTGCAGCAGAGGTGTAGCCAGATCTTCCTGTCCTGGGCTACTGTCAAGAGTTGTGGGACGGTGAGGGGCGTCCAGTCCTTGAAGTAGCCTGGTCACCCTCCTCAACGGGCCGGCTTGGGGGTGTTCCGGCCGGCCCTAGTTTGTCTGACACAGGGCTGCATCCTACACCAGTCGCGAAAGATCGTTGCAGTTGGTTTTTCTGATTACCGCTGTCCCTTCGTGGCGAGCTACTAGTAAATGAAACCCGTGGCTGGGCGGGAGGCTTGGCGTGCAGGGAACACTGTTAGCGCCCTAGAGATAGCGGGAAGCCACGACCGTCTGATTCACCAGGCTAGGGGAGAAGGGTTTGCCGGCCGTACCTGATGCTCAGGGTCTAACTGAGGGGTGTCTGTGGTAAAATGTCCTCGGGGACATGTTGGTCCCGGAGCCGAGACCGGCTTAGCAACAGTCTGGCGCCAGGCTAGACGGTGTGCCGAGCGGTCGACGCTCGCGTCACAGACTTGGTGTTTAGAACACCTTTAGACGACTTTACCGAGATCCGAAGCCTGTCGTCTGGTAAGCAATTGCGGCGTCGAATAGTTGAAGATGTGTTGTATTCAGCCAGACCGTAGTGTTGTTGGTCTCACAGGTTGCCGGCGACTAAGGGATCGGTCATATTCGTCGAAGGTCGTCGTCTGATTCTGATGTTGTGGACGTTTCGAGAAGGTTGTGACAGAACTGATCGCCGACAAGGATCTTTGACAGCCTTTCATGGAACAAGACAGTTGAATTTAACACGGCACATGCAAGACTACAGCAACAAGGCTTTAGGTTTGTGATGGTGCGATCAGGCAGTAAACTACCGACCGAGGAGCCCGCTTTGTAGAGGCGTTTATGGCGACTGGTCTATGTACTTACTTAAATTTACTTTAACAGTCGAGTTGAGGGCCATTTAATGCAATAATTAAGTGGTATAGTATAAGTAGGGGATAGAGCTCATCTTGACGAACAATGCGCCCCTATTTCTGAATTTTTCAACTCTGAGGTCTGCATGCCAAAGACTAATTATTCTATGCTGGGTTAAGTTGTTTCGCCCTGAATTTTACTTCTTTTGTAGGCCGGCTACGACACCGCATACCTTGCCGATGATAACTAATATATAATTTTTGTAAATCTGGATAGAAACTAGAGATACTCGTACTTTCACCACAGAATTTGTAGGATGTACTTTCAAATGTGTTAACTGACAGTTGCTGACAGCCTTTTTTCACCAGCAACTGAACATGTCTGAGTGAAAAGTCTGACTCTTCAGAGAGATGATCTTGTCGCCTGATGTATTTTGTGGTGTTCTACCCCGATATGGACGTATGGTAGAACATGTAATTATGTAAGGCCACACCGACTTAATTTTATGGATGACATCCTCTGAAGACCCCCAAACTAGTGCGCACGGGCGAAAAAAGAGAAAAATCCGGCCAAAAATAAAAATGCTATTAAACCACAGTAATACGAAGCCGGTATTGTGAATTTGGCACATTACATAGCGACGTATACGACAGGCCGGCACATGCTGGCTTTTTGCGGAATTTATGAATCGGCACTGTACGTATGTACTTAGTTATTGAGTCGTGGAACTTCGGTAGCCTGGATGCCGTCCTCCAGAGACTACCGCCGGCTTCGTTGTCGCTTACAACCATGGACTACCCAGGCCTAGAGCCAAGTCAGAGCCTCGGAAGACGTGATATTTATTTTTGAGATCAGGGGAAAATCAATGCGCGCGCGGATGTCATCCATAAAACCAAGTCGGTGTGGCCTAAATTGTAGATAATAAATCCTGGATCTATTCAGACCATTGGTATGTACGTGACACGTTGGTATGTTGTTTTCGTCTCAATCCATTAAACTCGTGGCGCCTCGGGCCAGCAGCACAACCATTATCTAATAACCATTAATTATACTATACCGGTCCCACGAGAATCAAATTTCCAAGCAGACGTTGGCTGACTGAATCGTAACAGTTTTCTAGAGCCCCGGTTCTATAACATATGACCTTCACAATTTCCTATCCTAAAACATGGACGTAGAAAATGTTTATAGTGTTGCCTATTGAAATCTGCCTCGAGATTACCGACTAGACTCTTCGTAAGTCGTCGGTCCCACCATCCCCAAATATGTGGGAAGCGAGCACAATAATTACTGAGAATTGGGCAGGAGTAAAACCGGTGGTGTCATACAATACTGCTATGGGACTGGTGAGGTGAGGCCATACAACATCAACAAAGATGGGACCAGATGAACACAGATATTTTATATAGTTTGTTTTCCTTCCGCAGTTTAACGATGGGCTACAAGCTGGCGATGTTCCTGGGTCTGACCGGCCTCCTGATGGTGCTGGTGGTGGACCAGGCGGACGCGATCAGACAGAAGAGGTAAGCTCACGGTAAATTGAGTCAGAGGTGGTTGTTGCAGAAGAGTTAATAATAATAAGCTCACGATAACTTTGAGCCTAGCCTGTGAAACCCAAGCTCTTTGTCCGGCGGTCAAGGAGCTGCTTAAACTCTATAACTATGGATTCTACCAACACAAACGAGCTTTCATTCAACCCAAAATGTTGTCCTTCCCGCCAGGATGGTGCCGCAGGAGGCAAGCGCTCTCCTGGACCTGCTGACGTACCTTGCGGACGATCTCACCATGGTCCAGAGGGGGGAAGGCAGCGACGAGGAGCATTATGAGGGTGACGGCCACGATCATCTTCTAAGGCAAGAGGAGGAGGAAAGCCACGAGCACGGCAGTGATGAAGAGCATTACGCTGGTGACGGTCACGGTCATGGCAGCAGCGTGGAAGATCGTCTCCTGAGGCAGGAGGAGGAGGAGGAAAGCCACGAGCACGACAGCGACGAGGAGCATTACGCTGGTGACGGTCACGGTCATGGCAGCAGCGTGGAAGATCGTCTCCTAAGGCAGGAGGAGGAGGAAAGCCACGAGCACGGCAGTGACGAAGAGCATTACGCTGGTGACGGTCACGGTCATGGCAGCAGCGTGGAAGATCGTCTCCTAAGGCAGTTGGCTGGCCACGGTAATCTCCTAAGGGAGGAAAGCCACGAGCACAACAGTGATGAAGAGCATTACGCTGGTGACGGTCATGGTCATGGCAGCAGCGTGGAAGATCGTCTCCTAAGGCAGGAGGAAAGCCACGAGCACGGCAGTGACGAAGAGCATTACGCTGGTGACGGTCACGGTCATGGCAGCAGCGTGGAAGATCGTCTCCTAAGGCAGGAGGAAAGCCACGAGCACGGCAGTGACGAAGAGCATTACGCTGGTGACGGTCATGGCCATGGCAGCAGCGTGGAAGATCGTCTCCTAAGGCAGGAGGAGGAGGAAAGCCACGAGCACGGCAGTGATGAAGAGCACTACGCTGGAGACGGTCACGGTCATGGCAGCAGCGTGGAAGATCTTGAGAGGTAAGTTATCGTTAATATTGGCTTTGTGACCACAGTAAAGCATCATGGCGTTCATGCATAAGAAAATGTCCATTGTTTTACCTGGTATGAAACAAAAAAAGAAGTCATGCCGATGAAATGTTGCCTGGGTCCATGCTGACATTTTTTGTATCTGATGTACAAAATGTGTTCTCGTTCTTCCCCAGGGAACTCCTGGAGGAAGCACGTGGCCTTCTGGAGCTGCTGCGTGGAGGGAGAAAGAGACGCGGTGAGGGGTCCAACTCCAGCTTGGAGGACTTCTAGTCCCAAAAGGTACGAAGTGTCCACAGGAATATCGTAGAGTGAACTCACCGCGTCACCGGGTGGAGTAATCAGTAGGGGCATCATTAATCGAAAGGTTTAAACAACGCTTGAACAGATGTTAGTTCTGACAGGTCAATCAGCGTAATTTCATTCATAAGCCGATGCTGCCGCGCCGGGTAAAACTGCGTAGCTGGTGTGTTACGCCGAAGGGCGGTTATACCGATACCGAAGCTGGTGTGTACTATACAAAGGCCGAAGGGTGGTTATACCGACTGTTCAGATACAGACGTCGGTTTTAGGTTGATAGTTTCTTTGTTTGAAACATGTTGAACATTCCGTTGTTGATTTTTTTGCCTAACGTATCGGTTGGTCTCCTTCCTCCTACCGTGAACAGGACCCCGGAATGGCGATGGTCCCACCGCATCCTGCGTGTGCCGAGCACCGTCCTGGCCTTCCAGCCGTGACTGCAGATCAGCCGCATAGATTTTAGCTGCTTTTGCCTCATTTTGACATTTAACCATGACAAGGCTCGTGAGTGGATATCATAGTTCATCATTATTCGATGTATTTTTTCTTATGATAAGTGTCATTGCACTGATCCTTTCGAAACATAACGCTCCATATAATCTCATAGGCATACTGGTTGGACACTGTTTGGTCAGTTGGATACAGCCTTGCCACCATAGCTAGGATATAACCTGACAGTCTGACAGTTTTCTAAATCGAAATCCATCCAGTCGCTTGAGTTTTCTTGTACTTTTCCATGGTTGATCTCTGATATCCTGCTCACAGTCTGTACCATAGATTACGGGGTTCCGTCAACTCTACCTATATTTTCGTGCTTTTATAACATTAAAGTTCCAACTTTTGAATATGAACATCTGAACAAATTATAACTATTAGACTAAGTAAGTACACTTATGATGACGCGAAAAATCCCGTCATTTCGCCTTTTTTTCAAATTTCACCATTACACACTTTTATGTTACTTGGAGCAACTTTTATATTTTTCTAAGAACTCACATCATTTTGTATTCATATGTCTTCAAAATGTCAGCTTTGCAACAAATGTTGTATTCACAAATATGAAATCTTCTTATTTGACAGAATTGACGAATAAGGGAACCCATAGATCAGCTTTGGCCGCTTAATGTAACCAAAAGATTTCTTCTGGCAATAAAAAAAAATGCATGATGCAAACTATTTTGTCTTTGCTCGTCTTTTCCGTGTCTGGCGTCAGTAGATGATGAGTAAATCAAGCCGACTTACTAGTATTGTGAAGCAAAGTGCAGGAAAATATAACCTTCATAGCATGCCAAAAACTGGGTTTTTTTTTGGGGGGGGGTCTTCGGGAGCTTTTATGTGCTATTTTCTGATTGCATATAGACAACATAACCGGCCTGGTTGAATTACCCCCGTTTTTAGAACTGGGCTAATCAGAAAACAGCCGAAGACCACCAAACCCCCAGTTCTATATGCCTGCTACGGAGGCTAATCAGAAAACAGCCGAAGACCACCAAACCCCCAGTTCTATAAGCCTGCTACGGAGGCTAATCAGAAAACAGCCAAAGACCACCAAACCCCCAGTTCTATAAGCCTGCTACGGAGGCTAAGAAAAATAGACATGGCGGAAGTTCAGTCACATAGGACTGTTTAGACTTGGATACAAAATGTGGACACTTGGATGCCAACATCTACCTTACTGGGGAGGGTATATTCATATCAACCGTTATGTCGTAAATGTTGGTTTATGTTTGTAACCTTCAGCAATTAACTTAAAAAGGACAAAATACCACAGAGAGCTTAGACTAGTTAACTGAAACGCTGTGGTGTGAATACCAACACATTCGCCATGAATGCTGTATCCTGCCCTCTTTTTTCGGGAAAGGGGGGTTTATGCAAAGTTACAAATATTGTACGAAAGGTAAGGCAGAGGACAATACAACAGAGACGTCAGTAGGCATCTGAAACTCTGAGATACACCTCACAGCCTTGCCCTGCGTGCTCCTTGAGCTAATTAGATGTAAAGGGAGCTTTTTGCCAAGTTGTATCTATTAGCCTATTGTTCTATAACGATGGACGCGTACGAGAAAGACAGTACAACACAGAGACGAGTAGGCATCGGCCTGAAACACCGAGATACACCTCACAGCCTTGCCCTACTCTCTACCAGACTACCTACGGTGGCTATAGGGAGAATATTTGCCAGGGGAGTTTGGCCGCCTTGTAGGTTTGACTGGCCGCGCAGTTCGGAGGGAAAGAAACTACCTCCCCGCGGCCGGACTCTCTTGGCCAATTTTACGATCCGTATTCTCGTAGAAAGGCCTGGTGGAGGCTAGCCTTGCCCTGTATGCCCTTTGGGGTAATGAGCTGGAAGATGTGCATGTATTCCATTAACACATCATCCCAACAGTGCCCTATCCTGCCAACAACTACCATTGCATCATCAAGGCAAGGGATACCCATTACTTAAGTGTGTGTTAAGTTAAGTTTGAGCCGCCATGTGTCCCCACAAAGTGGTTAATTTGTTTATCTATACAACGATTAAGTCAGTGCTGTTATTAAATAGCGAGCCTGCCTACCGGTGGTTGTGTATGCCGACTGCCTGAGGGCGTGTGAGAAGTTAACGTACCAGAAGATATAACAATAGAGCGCCCAGGTAGCAGGGCGTGAGAAAGTAATTACTAACACAAATACAAACTTCTTCCACCGGGGTCGAAATAATTATCTCTCGGAGGTATCATTCTTTTTTTTTATATTCCAACATTTCATGACTAGACATGGTGACAGCACACTCAAGTTATATCAACTTATTTTATGCCGCCACCAACGCAGAGGACGAATACAGGACAAGACAATACACGGGAAAGTCGTGTAAAGTGCCTTTCCCAAGGGCACAAGGTGGCATGTCTGGTCTCGAACCCGGGACCTCTTGGTTCCGAGCCGAGCACGCTGCCGCTACGCCACACGACACCACGTGGGGTGTCATGTGAGGGGCAAAATGTCAGAGTAATTCACCTTTGACCTCGATGGCACGGTATATCCATGCGCTCAGTGATGGGTCCACCGCACCACAACTCAAATTTCTCTCTACGCCAGGTAAAGTAAACTTCAGCGTAACTCGTTTTTGGGAGCGACCCTGCTTTTGTTATCTGCAGAATTTAGTCCTGCGTTTATTCTCCAATACCATTTAACAAAATAGGGCCATGGAGAACCAGACAAAGCTACATATCCTCGGCCAACAAGAAAGCATACCAGTTGCATATCCACAATCATATCCAGTTGCAACTGCTTTTTGGCGTATTTTATTACATGGATGTCTAACCTTCATCGACGCAACAAGAAAGCGGTTTGCTCGGAGCCAGGCTGTCATATTAAATTCCACAGTACCGCTTATTCTCATGCTATGTCCCCAGTACTTTGTGAATGTTACGTGTCCACTCGTTTCCATTGCGTTTCCCTACAAATCGCAAGGTGGCAGCTCTTCACAACAACAACAACAACAACAACATACAACTTGAACCAAACAAATCCATGCACATTTTAAGTCACAATGTTTAATTCGAACATCCACTAACCTTAGCGCCACCCTGCTTCACTGAGATGTGGTGTCAATGAGACGCACGCGGTTTGGCACTAAGGTTAGAATAAAAGCTTTAAGTACATTCAATATTATCAATTTACAACTTGTCAAAGAGAGAACACTTCAAAATGTCAGGGACAGATGTCCAGAAGCTCAGAAGGTGGGGGTTCAAATCCCCTGAGATAGAGACAGGAGTTCTGGATCAGAAGATAGGGGGTTAAAATCCCAGACAGAGACCAGGGTCCTGGACGGAAAGCGGGGGTTCGAATCCCTGACAGACACCGGGGTCCTGAATCAGAAAGCAGGGGTTTGAATCCCAGAGACAGGGGCCCAGGATCAGAAAATAGGGGAGGGGGTTCAAATCTCAGAGACAGTTCCATTGTTGGTGATTGGACAAACACAATATCACCAAGCATGATATCACCAAGCAAGATATGGCAAGTCATGGTTCACTGTTAATTGTATATTTTAACAAGAGCCAAGGGGAAATTCCCTGTGCATTCAACCTGTATAAACTCTCAATGGCATCTCTCTTTAATAGATTCAATGGTAAAATAGCTGCCTATAATCTGATATTACAGTAAATTCTGCCCCATTTCCATTCCACTTTTTGCTTTGAGGTAAATTTTTCCTCATCGAAAATTGTAGCTAATTAATTACAGCTGGTGCTGTCTTAAAATCATAATGGAAGGACATTATGTACTTTTTATATACATTATGGAAGAACTTTAAAATAAAGTAGACACATAAAGTGGCATCGTCTGAGGAAATTTGTCCACAGAGAGATTGTTGTGCAACCACATTGTTCACCAGTTGCAAAAAGACCCTGTGGAAATGCTGCCACTTTTAATTAGAACAAGTTAAAATTTGATCTAAACCAAGGCGAATAAATTTGTCACTGAAGTGAAGATCTTTGAGAATTCGAAGACAGACAGTTGAGCAATCAGATTTCTGGTTACTCGATTGTAATTTTTTTGTGTGGATTGGAGTATAAAAAATTGACGTCATCTCTGTGTCTTCTGCAGCCCGACAGGCTTGCAGACTGTCTGGCACCGGTTCTTGGCAAGACAGAACGTCACTAGCAGTAAAACGATGGCACTCTGCAACGCACAAACACACAGAAGCATGTTGGAGCTCCACAGGAACTGCTGGACCCTCCTCCGCCCATCCTGCAGCACACCTTTCTCCTGTTCCAGCACAAGCGGCAGGCCAGGGAGTTTTTGTGTCTGTGCGGTGACTTCCCTTCCAGCAAGAACTTCTGGTTCTAGTCACAAATCTGGGCTGAACGCGACGTCCTTGATGTACTGGATGACCGTCTGGTTGGCCAGTATCTTCATGTGTTCCGCCCCCTCGAACGTCTGGTAGAAGACCGGCTGCTGCTGCTGGTCGCGCCACCTGAGGCAGCCCCGCGCGCTGTTCAGGTTGACGGTCCCGTCCCCGTCCCCGTAGATCACCGAGGGCTGCAGGTCTGGGAACTCCTTCGCTGTGTACGAGAACTGGTACGGCGTCTTCACCTGCAGTGGTAAAAAATATATACAGTTTAGAATAACCACTGACCTTCCAAGAAAAGAGAGAGAACTTTATTCACACAACAAAAGTACAGCGACTTTCGTAAGGTCTAAGACATGTAGATATACAGACAAATATACATGGGTACAACGAAATCAACCTACGTACAAAACAATAGATAAGTCAACTAATACTACTTGTTCTAAGGTCTAAACATTCTTTGATATATTTACCTATTTGTACACAGTAAGGGTTATTACCTTCTAGGATGGCAAGATGGGACAGAATGGACAAAACCTCTGGTCGCAAGGGATTTTTTTATATCTTCCTAATTCTGTATTCAATTTATGGCTAGAAATTCTCATCTTTGTAATCGACCTAAAAATGACCTGGACTGTAAAATGGATATGAGTTATGGAAAATGATTTTTGTACATGATTTCATGTAACACATTTTTGTTTATGTATACCTTTGAGTACTTATGGCTCACAACCCTTTGTTGCTTACGTTAAATCTTCTTCTGCAATATTCAAGATTTCTCTGCAAAATGCAGACTGCAGGTGGGTATTTCTGACCCTGACCTTGTTGCCATGGAGACAGTGTACGGTGACCCCGGGCGGCGTGAGGTCACGGATGAGCCCCTCGGTCTCCTTCCTCATCAGCCAGCCCTCCTCGTACTCCAGATCCTCGAAGAACGCAGCGTAGTCGCGTATGGTGTAGTTCCTGTCAGATACAAGATGACTTTATTTATGAATTTATTGCGTATCACTCTGCCAGAAATCTGGGCCCTGTGTAGTGGCAGCCAGTCTCTAAAACCAGGGAACGATCAAACTTACTACCTGATACAACCAAGATATTTACCTTACTGACGTTTCGGTGTCTATCAGACACCTTCCTCAGAGCTTCTGACTGGAGTTCTGCCGCTATATGTAGCCGATGTACCGCCACCTACATTGGCTACATATAGCGGCGAGAAGCAGAACTCCAGTCAGAAGCTCTGAGGAACGTGTCTGATAGACACCGAATGGTCACAAGATAAATATCTTGGTTGTGTTTAAGTATCCTATACTTTACCAACCTGATGAAGCTATTTTCGGAGGTAAGACAGTACCTGTCAGGCGTGAACACGAGCGGCTCGTCCGGGTCGAACAGCGAGGGGTACGGCATCATCCAGGCGCTGCTGGGGAACGAGCGCTGCTCCGGGCGCAGAGACAGCGGGTTCACCACATAGATACCCAGGTTATCTCCTGCAGCAGAAAAAGATTGTTTAAAGTTAAAACTTTTGGTCCAACACAAAGAAGTTCTCTCACTTAGAGCTTTTTTTCAGTCACTCTTGTCTTCCTCAGTAGACTGACCCAGTGAGGCTTGTCACGTGGCTTCTTTGAAGTGTGACGTCAACACTGGGTCAAAGGTATCTGGTAGATGATGTCGGCCCCCGTCGCAGTTCAATGAACAGAAAAGGTTGTTTATTTGTTAAAAATGCTTAGGACACAGCAAGTAAATTTTATAGATGACATCCTCCACAGACTCACCACTTAGATACCCAGGTTATCTCCTGCAGGAGAAAAAGTTGTTTGTTTTTTCATTTGCTTGATGCAAAAATAACTATAGAAAGTCAACATTTGAAAAGAGAATGCATGTTTATAGTGACATGGTCTAGCCTAACAAACTAATGTTCCGTTCATTCTTACTGAAACTCATTCATGCATATGGTGACCAGCCCCTCCATCCCTGTCCTGCCACTTGCTACATAATGTAACCCAACACCACAGGGTGACTGCTACAGCACCAGTTACCATAGTGTCAGCTGTCTAGTACAAGTTACTGAAGAAGAAGAAACTATGACCCGGTTTACACGTGCACACGTCGTTCCACGCCTGACACATATAAATGACGGACGTGTGAACCGGTCCTTTCTCTGTTCTGTAGACCTACCTGAAACATACAGTCTGAGAGTTTTTGCTGCCCCTCCCCATGGTCCAGCCAGCGTGACCATGGACTTGATGAACTTGTCCTTCCAGGGCTGGTCCATGGAGTTGAGGAAGAGCAGACCGTAGGGCCCGCCCATGCTGTGGGTCACCAGCACCACGCGACTGTTGTTGTTCTTGTAGTACGTCTCCTCAATCAGCTGTTTAAACATGGGGAAGTCCACATCTCGCCGGTCTGGGCGATAATACACAGGGCAGGTTAACAATCTTCAGTGTACATTCAATTCTCTATGGCAATCACTCGTGATATATATTTGCAATCACATACAGATTCATGTACAGGTCTATACATTTCATGCACAGATACAGATTCATGTACAGATACACATTCATGCACAGATACAGATTCATGTACAGATATACATATACAGATTTTCCGAGTAGGATGAACGTGTCAGTCCCTACACCTGAGTGAGGGTCACAGTTGACACGGTGGCCTTCGCGTGGATTTGTTTAAGGTGGATAACATTCAAGTACAGAGTCACAATACATGTCCTGAGGCATATGTACATTCTAATCTTTTTTCTTCACTAGCCAACTGCTGCCCATGCACCCCTGAGACAGAGAAGCCGGCAGCAGTATAATCAAAGCCAGGATATGTATGTATGTATGTAAAAATCCCAAGATAGAAAGAAAGTATGATTATAGAAAAGACTAACAAAAGATATAAATACTTCAATGCCGGTGAGTATAGGCTTTGGCAAATAAAGTGATGCAGGTAGTTCTCAATGCTACCTGCACACTTACAGGTACAGGTATGTAGAAAAAAGGATTTGGAGCCTTGTAACTTACATGGAGACATCCTGAAGTCGTAAGGCGCTCCTCGGATGTCCACACCTCTGGTGTAACCTGCAGCTACCAGTGCCTCTGCTATGTGGGTGAAGTATGAACCTGGAGGGGTCAAATTGTGTACAGATATTAGAAGCAACAAAAATGTCTTCAAATACATGTATGTGGATGAAGGTTAGACATCCAGGTAATGACATACATAACAAACAGTCATTCAAGCAAATTCTTAAAAAATCTATCTGGCTGCCTGCAGCTACCAGTGCCTCTGCTATATGTGGGTAAAGTATGAACCTGGGGGGAGGGGGGGCAGGGTCAAAATGTGTACAGCTTAGAAGCAACAAAAATGCATTCAAATACACTGGTAATTTTTTGTGGATGAACGTTAGACCTCTAGGTAATGCGATACAAAATGCAAAACAAACAGTTACTGAAGCAACTGCTTGGGTAGATTTTTCAGTTTTCAAAAATCTATCCGGCTGCTTAAGTAACTGTTTTATTTTGTACACAATGAGGTAGTTAGGAAATAAAGCCAAAGACATCAGTTATTTATGCTCCTTTATGTTTCTTTATTATCCTCAAAGTTTCCTTTCCTCTCCTTTCCTTTATATGGACCAGGTCTATTGTATGATGCAATTGTGTAACCTGGTGATTATCAAGCTAAGCAGTAAGAACAAGAATTATGACCCACTAATGCTGGCATGGCTGACGTCCAGCCACTCCACAGTCTCCGTGTCCCCGAACCCCGGCACCCTGATGTCCACTCCAGCGTTGTTGGTGACCGTCTGGTTCTCCTTGTGGTACAACAGTCTGGGAAACACATGAGCACATCAGTCAGTAAACTTCACTCTTTTTCTTTCGCTTATAAATGATATACTGAAATTCAGCACATTAAAGCAACCCAACATGCTTTTTGACAACAGCAGTGTGTAATGATGTATGTGTAAGACACAAACCCCTATATAGAAACTTTATTTGCAAAATATATACCCATGTGACACCCTGGTATGATTATCCCAGCAGTCCAAGATATTATAAGGACAGCAGTACATGTAGCTATATGTATACTAGTACAAGACCTCCATCAATATACATGTGTGTAAGAAACCCCTATGTGATACCCATGTGTCACCCTGGTGTGATACCTACTTCATGTTGTCAACCCAACAGTCCAGTACGTAGGGCAGAAGCAGCTCTATGTTCAGTCACAGGTCAAACTTAGCTACCGATATACAGTACATACATGTGTACAATACCTCCATAATTGTACATGTAAGAAACCCCTATGTGATACCCATGTGAAACTGTAGTGTGATACCTACTTCATGTTGTCGACCCAGCAGTCGAGTACGTATGGCAGCAGCAGCTCTATGTTCAGCCACAGATCGAAGTAGTCGTCGGTGGTCTTGTCGCAGAAGTAGTGCGGGGAGGAAGACTTGTTCAGCTTGGCCTCCAGCTGAGAGCCCCCGTCGCCTGGAACTGGGAGGTAAAAATAAAGTTCTCTTTATTAAGTGTAACAGTGGGGAGTTTATAGGTACTACCAACTGATCCGTCTGACGGGTCTAGACCTTTTAGCCGAATGGTCAGAGCGTCAGGGTAATGAGCTGGCACGCGGGTTTGATCCCTGGCCAGGCCTAGGGGCCAGAAGTGTCTTTCTGTTTCTACTCTCCTAATTCTTATGGTCTAATCTTCTGCTTCCTTTTTAAGGAGGCAAGCTGGTGTGTTACGCCAAGAGGAGAATCTGAGGAGAGCAGGAGAGTAGAATTCGGTAAAAATAGGGGAGTTCTGTTACGGTCGGTAAAATTTGGTAAAAACGGGAATTTCGGTAAAAATTCTGTAAAAATAGGGGAGTCAGTGGGTCCACTGTTAGCATTTTATGTCCCCTCGGATCAGTCCTGTGGCCAGAATCCACTGGACAGTTATTCCTCCTATATTTGGCTAAATTTTTGAAGTCATGTTGTATGTTAGTCTGGTGGGGACAGGATGTTTTTTCCTGATTGGTTGTTTGTCTCCGTTATCAAGCCGACCTTTACCTGGCACACTCTCACTTGTTGACATAAGGTGGGGTGATCCGCTACCTTTGGCCTGCCCCGGTCACACTCACACGCTACAGCTGAGCGCGTGGCACCAGTGGTTCCGCTGGGCATGTGTCTTTAAACGCACTATTTTTGGGCTGAGGTAGTACGGTGTGCCGGGTTGCTGGACCAGTTCCGGACTTGTAAAAAGTTATGGTTCAAGTAAAAAAAACCCTAAAAGTCAAGAACCAATTCTGGATTTGGGAACATTTTGAGGGAGGAATTATTAGAATATACTATATATTATACATACTATGCGTAGAACATACTAGAATATCGACCTATGCTAACTAAGTGTGACTGACCTCTCAAGCTAAATTTAGAGAACAGCTGTCTAAAGTCCTACATGTTATAGATCCTAAAGTTAAGTCAGGTCATGTGTCAGACTGAGACACACGTGTGATCACATGTTCTGTATACTCCTCTGTCTGGACATGTACACGTGTGTGGGGGTCCGCATGCCCTTTTCCGTAGGGCGTAATTGGCCTTTTATAATTCTACGTAGAGCTTAGACGGACTGTTCTAATTCAACGTAATGAGAGTGTAATTGGCGCATTTTGCGTAGAGCGTCATTCGCCATTTTATTTCACGCAAAACGTTGTAACTTGTAGCCACTAGGAATTTATAGTAAAGGGGGAGTGGGTCTATCCAGAACCGTGCCTACTACTAGTATCTAGTTGTAACAGGTTCATAGGGGTTAGGATCTGGCACAGTTTTGGATAGAGACCATATATCCAAGAACATAACGTTATATAGATTAGCCCCAGGGACAGTTCTGCATATTCGTGAACAGTCAAGAATAAATTTGTGCCAGAGTTTGCACATTTCTGAAAGTGAAACAATTATCTGTGATTTTCAGACAGCGAAATTTTGAGAGTCGCCCTAGGTTACCAGTAATGGGATGGAAATAAGTTTCAAGGGTATGTAACAGTGGGGGTTTATAGGCGCTACCAAGTAGTACCAACTGACCCAGCCAATGGGTCTGAGACCTTTTAGCTGAGCGGTTACACTAGCATCGGATTTGAAGCTGGTGCCCGGGAGGTCGTGGGTCCGAACCCCGGCCCGGGGGTTTTAATCTGTTTCTACTCGCTCCTCCTGTTTCTTACAGGTATACTGGTTAAACCAGGGCTGGGCAAGGGGTAGGCACATGGACTAGGGTACTCAGGCAATCATGAGATTTTGTATGTTTTATGTAAACTGTACAAGGGGGCGTGTTTCCGGTCACAACACACATATATTTCGGCTGATGAAAAAAAAAGAAAAGAAATTATCCTAAAAATCACATCAAATTGTGGATTATGAGGATAGAAAGTACCAATTTCTCTGTCGGGAACCCATCCTTGTTTACAAAACCTGAACATTTTCCTGTTTATGTTTATCAGTACGTTGTGTAACGTTATGTCAAAGGGTTGGTTACGTCATCAAGCATTAGGTACATGTAACACGTCAACAGTATACTAGTAGTCTTCACAAACTGTAGTATGAAAGATTTAATAGTACTACCAAGATCAGTAACTTTCAGACTACAGAAAAACACATATCTCGGTACTTACTGAGAACCACAGGCGATCTCTGTGTAGCCGGCTGCTGGTGTTTCTTCACTTGGACATACTTGTTGTTGCTGCCCCCCTCCCACCCCGTCGGCTTGGCGTACAGCAGAGTTGGCGGCGCGACCAGCAAGAAAAACAGGAGCAGGCGGCGCCGAAACCCCGTCATCTCTGGATCCAGAAGTTTGGAGCTAATAGCGAAAGTACAGGACGGTGTTTGGCCGGTTTTTACACGTACCTTTATTTGAAGAGAAAAGGTTAAATTTGTCTAACCTAATTCTCAGTCGGCCCATGAGAGGCACGTGATTTTAGGTGCCTGTCGTAACATAAATAGTGCCGGAATATTTTTCATCAGTGTTGACAGATATGACAACTTAAATATCTGTAAGGTCAACAAAAAATATTCATCAATATTAAAACAATGTTATTGTAATTGATACCATAAAGAAAAATATTGGTTAATGAAATAATATTGTCACTAATAAGTTGAGCACTTTTGTAACGCTGCGATAGGCACCACTAGTAATATACACTTGTCAGACGATCTGTAAGGTTTGGCGGGAAATTTAAAGTTGAGTATATGATCGTTTGGCAGGTAAAACACTAGATCACCACTAAGTTGAGGATATAAAGTTAGATTTCTGAAATCTGGGTTTTCATTCGGTGTTGTTCTAACAATTCTTGTATGAATTAAACCTTGTGATAGTCTACCAAAGCTAGGAGCAGGCGAAAGGGACCTGTAGAGAAGAGCACCACACGGGAGTACTGTTGCCGATTCTGCGGCAGAGCCTGCAGGGCCAGAATCGGCTGTACCAGCCATGAGAGGCGCTGCCCGGCCAGACCCGCAGAGAGTGACTGAAGCTGTAGACCGTCTGACAAGACGACAAGGGCCCAAGAAGAAGTCTACCAACGAAATACAAACTCAGAAAAGAACAAGAAATGGTCACGCCTTCAAGTACCAGAGTTATCAACCTAGGATTGGGGTATTCAAAAACTGCTACCAAGTACAGTAGAGGCATCCTCACAGTTTTAGACAGCGCTCACAGTTTTCACAAAGCTAGATGTAACAGGCAAACAGGTCGTATGGTGTAATACAGCCGACTGTCGCTGTGTGGCGTTCCCACGAAACTTGTGCGTTACGCCCAATGAGCCCAAATGATGGTTACCCGGTATACAGGCTATACAAATACAGATACAGAAGCAGCTGGTGTGTTGGGCAGTTCTATAGGCTATAAAGATACAGAAACTGGTTAGATAAATAAAGTGAAGTGAAGTGTTACACTGCAGGGCGATTAATACAAAAGCTGGTGTTTTAAACTGCCGGCTGGTGCGTTACACCGAAGGGAAGGGCGGCTATTCTGACTATACAGGTATAAGCGAAATAGAATTCGTCAGTTGACGCCAATGGTTTGATCTGAGATATGAATTAATACCAACGATAACGCTGGGATCGGATGTAGAAAAGTCGGGCCTTACGTCAAACTGTAATTGGTTCTAATCAATTATAAGACCAATCCGCAAAAAATATACGTTGTTCTTTTCTTCAAATCTAGCCTTGACACGCATCCGTTTATATCTGTTGAAGGCTACCTGCCTTTTCGGGTTGTCACACCTGTCTACAGGTGTGCTGTGACGTGACGAACGGTTAGGGACACCTGTAGTGTCACCTGATGGACGACAGGTGTCCTGTTGACAGACGCGGCGCCGCACCGTGACATTTAGCGGGCCGTAACGCGGGAAACATGTCCGTACATCACCCCTATTAAACAGCCTGCATGGGTCCGACCCTTCCATTCACACTGTCTGGTAACGTATTGTTGCAATTTGGCGTGTCTTTATTTGGCCACTTTGTAACAACCCAGCAAGAAAAATGGCAAACCCTGGGTCGTTCTGGGTGCTTTAGATGAGGACACATGGAGCTTTTACTTTACAGGACACTGACTACATGTGTGTAGGCCCCACCCAAAAGCCAGGGTGGGGGTCCAGTAGGACAGTGCTGTATCCAGAATCTTGCTTTATCCAGAACCATGCTCAGGCACGGCTTTGCCTTTGGATAGTCCACGCGTATCCGGAACCGTGCCAGGGGCAAATCTCACGTTCTTGGATACGCGGGGACTATCCAGAACCTTCCTGATTCTAGGATTCTAGCCCTAAACCATTCAGGCATGGGACTAGGTAGGCACAGTACTAGTTCTGGATACGATAACAGTCCCTATAGCTAGTTGTTTGATCTCCATCAGAACGCCGCCTGATGGCGCCAGAGATGAGCGCGTGTCAAGCCGTTCTTGTGCCCCAGGATCGGGCGACAAATCCGCCCGGTAATTGGACAGATAGCCGTTAGTTACTAAAGTACCTCTGGGCCGCGCGGCGGAAATGAGCATCCGAAAGACGGAAATATCCAATACAACATTTCGTGTCACCCGTGGTACCGGCCCGACCGCGGAATACACGGGTATTCTGCATCACCTCGGTCCTTCGACCCGTGTGATAACCCTTGGAACCCCATGTGATACGACTCGCGGGAGGGCCGGGACCGAGGGCGATGCGGAATACAACGTGTTGTATTTTATTTATGTCATACCCACCCAAGAAAACACGCCTTTCAATGCAAGATGAGCCAAAAGTTGGTGCCACTAAACCCTAAAATGCAACAACATCGATTCCAACGTCCGGATTCTGTATTCGAATTTTCGAAAGGGGCATACGCGGGTAGGGCGAAACGCGTTCGAATCGTTTTATGGAAGCCATGGAAGCGTTCGATAACGGGTTCCGGACCGGGCCGTACCGTAAAGTCTGGAACCCGTTATCGAACGTTATCGCGGCCCGGGTATGATATAAGGCTAGTTATCACACGGGCCGGAACACCCGTAACGAACGTAATCGCGGCCCAGGTAGGACATAATGACGTTTATCAACTAACCATCGTCACAGAGAACTGGTTACCGATCCTGTCAGGCCGTCAAAAATGCGCCACGGTTGTCATCGATTTTTACGCTTTACGAAAAACGTTTTCCTTCAGATCAAGCTATCACATCGATCTGCAACATACGCAAATGTCGACCTGGTTTACAACACTAGTTAACGTTCCAGCTGCAGTGGTCGAACATTATAGTATACCTAGAGTCTTTTCAAGGAGTACTATGGAAAGCGAACCACGACTTACAGGTTCCATACCATCACATCTACTTAACCACCACTCAATAAAAGAAAATGAATACACATCATGCTAGTCTGTGTAACGCAAAGTCTGCCGTCCGCGGCTTTAGTGGCCCCTCCCCGCCGGCTGGATGTTGGGCGGCCAGCAACAGTAAAGCGATTTAATCAGGCTACACATATAACACATAATATTAGCATCACACATCATACAATTTCACGCCATACCATCCCACATTTTAATTTTAATTTTAAAAATTTAAATCTACTTAATCTTAATCGTCAATGTCGTACTTTTTAATGTGTATCTCTTTAAAATTTTAAATCTACTTAATTTTAATCGTCAATGTCGTACTTTTAATGTGTATCTCTTTCAAGTTTTTTAATATGTAATCACTTGTGCAATTCAGCCAACAATGCATATGGCTGCCAATCAATGTGAATAAACAGTATCAGTATCACATTATACTATCATAAGCCACACCATCACACATAATACTAGTAGTTTTTTCTGATTCACTGCATGTTTTTAAAACGTGGGTGAAAATTTGCCGACCCTGAGCAAACATCACACGCAGCGCCCGCGGCTGGTGAGAATTAAGTGGGGCGAAGATTCGCGAGGCCGGACCCGGCCCTAATTGGGCGCACTTTTCCCCAGAAAACACACAAACCTCCGCAATCATCTCTTCCCACTCCAGGATGGATGACGCAGAGAGGGACGCCTTTCCGGATGTTGTCGCCATGGCAACCGTGACGTCATCGCGGAGCGGCTCACACAAGAGGACGGGAAATGAGCGCGGTTCGCGGACCTTGAATGAAACATCACGGAGGAAAAGCTTACGTATAGTCAGTACGGAATTACGTATTCAGCACACAAATCGCAGTATTACCCTGCTGTGCCGCTGATTATAAGGTATTATGTGATATCCGGCAACTGAGGTAAATGCTATATAAAGCATCAAGACTTGATCCAGGTGCTTCGTTGTCGCACAGATGCTCGGTACTCCGCTGAGAAGGCCACGTTGGCGTTCGGGGGAAACACCAACAGTTATCAAGACGCTGCTGCTGGGTTGATGCGTTTTTGCCTTCAACAAAACAGGGTCGCGACAAGGCGCCAGTGACAACCAGAGATAGCAGATCGCGACTCGCAGGCGGCCGGTTGTAAGTCGGGGCATCAGTCACCAGGACGCCAGTCAAACCCTACATCGGGGATTGTATACAGGGAGAAAAGAAGCGCGCGCAGAGTATCTGCATCTGCAGGGCTGATTCGTAAGCAAGACGGGCTCTGTAGGTTGATGATACGGAGTTACAGCAGAAGCGCTACAGGCGAGGACCACACGCGCAAACTGGAGCTTTGATCGTTTGTGGTTCGCTCACGTTGCGGTAACGCTACAGAGCAGCTTCGGGGAATTTATCAAACTCTACAGCATCTAAGAGGTGGTCCCAGGAAAAGAAAACATTCCCTTATATTTAAGCGTAATCTATACTTAGCATCAGTGAACCGTAGCAGCGCGTGTCTACTCTCCAAGTTTTGCCTTCGGTTTTTGGAGGTGTTTTTGAGCCAAACATATTGGATACTGCCTGGCGGATTTGATACCGTCTAGCCAATTTGATCCTGAATTGCTGCCACCAAAAGATCTGCTTGGAGACTAGCGCCCGTGATAGCCCCCCCCCCTCCCGAAGCGCGGTAATATTGAGGCCTGGTTGGCGGCTCGAAACGCTCTCGGCGCCGAAGGGATAGCGCTGAGCTCACCGCGGTCTGGTGACCAGGCTAGGCCCGTGAGATGACCGACGCGCGGAGTCAGGACGGGCCGGCGGGAGAGGCCGCCCCCTCCGCCGAGCACCCCTCCGCGGACGGCACGGTGGAGCTGAAGCGGAAGATCACGCTGCTGAACGGCGTAACCATCATCGTGGGCACCATCATCGGCTCCGGCATCTTCGTGTCCCCGAAAGGTTTGCCACTTCAGCTTCCATTGCCACCTGTAAGTCTATACGGTACCGACCTGAAGTATGTAAACTCATTTGTCTATTTGGGTATACATCTAAATACCACATTAAGTGACGATGATTGTGTACGTACTTGCTCTGCTGAAGAGTCTTTATAGCCGTGCAAACAGTATCAATCGCAAATTTTTCTGTTGCTCTCCATCCGTTAAGAGACACCTGTTTATGACGTATTGCGCCCAGCTATATGGCGCTCAGTTATGGAGCTCTGTAAGCGCAGGTGTTCTGTATAAGTGCCGAGTGGCTTATAACAATTGTTTTAGAATCATTATGAACCTGCCTCGGCGTTGCAGCGCGAGTGAAATGTTTGTCACTATATTGGCACTTTCTAAACCAGGAGGAGGAGAATTTGTTATTCTTTTCTAAAAAGGTTATTTTCCTCCAACAACGCAACAATCTGTCGCTTAATTCATTCCGATGCCTTCTACAGGAATAATATTCATTCTTTCGGAAGATCTTCCATTTATTATGCTTTTAGGTTTCTTCCTGTTTTATTTGTATGTCTGTAGAGTTTTTGTATTATTTTAATGATGTATTGTACATGTGTTATATGGGTTTTTACCTGAAATAAAGAATGAATTGACTTAAAGGCGTGCTGGAGAACGCGGGGTCCGTGGGGCTGGCTCTGCTGGTCTGGGCGCTGTGCGGAGTGTTCTCCACCGTGGGCGCGCTGTGTTACGCCGAGCTGGGAACCTGCATCACCAAGTCAGGCGGGGATTACGCCTACATCCTGCAGGTGTTCGGCCCGCTGCCCGCCTTCCTCAGGCTGTGGATAGCGCTTCTTATCATCAGGTGGGTGTGTTAGAGTAACAGGTGGGTGTCTTAAACAGGTGGGTGTCCTAGACTAACAGGTGGGTGTCTTGGAGTAACAAGTGGATTGCTAGAGTAACAGGTGTATGTCTTCATGGCTATCGTTGCCCTAACTGTAAACTGTAACATGATATTCCCGTTGCCATGGTTACAGACCGACGTCCCAGGCCATAGTCGCCCTGACTGTAAACTGTAACATGATCTTCCCGTTACCATGGTTACAGACCGACGTCCCAGGCCATAGTCGCCCTGACTGTAAACTGTAACATGATCTTCCCGTTACCATGGTTACAGACCGACGTCCCAGGCCATAGTCGCCCTGACGTTTGCGGAGTACATCTGTCAGCCCTTCTTCCCCGGATGTAGCCCTCCTGAGGCTGCAGTGCGCATGCTCGCAGCGGTCTGTCTCAGTACGTACCTGCACTTTAAATTCATCTTCCTCTGGTTTTTCATTTCTATGCTTCTATCAAATCATTCTTACATGTACATGTATTGTTTGGATATTTAGAATGATACCTCTGCTACAAAGTCTGCCTTGTCCCCCCCCTACGACCAGTGTCGGTCATGGGACTAGGTAGGTAGGTAAAGAGTAATATCCATATCTGTATAGTAGCGTTTTGTGGAAGTACAGTATGCACAATCTATAGCATGATATTGTATTTCTTGGTAATCTTATATGTTTTTGGTTACGCTTGAAGTGTAAGGATAGTCAGACCACAGGATGTAATCAGATTTGGATCGATAGTGTGTAACTTCGGCAAAGTACCTTCCTTTTGTTAAGCCCCGGATGAGTTTGCGCTGTCCGCCGGCTTGCGACAATCACCGCACTTAATAAAATCTCCTTATTTGCCACCAAATGTTTACACAGTCACTTAAGACGTTTCCAGAATCTCGGCGGCGCTTTGGAGGTCTGAGATAATGAAGTCAGACCGCCCACAAGGAGACGTGATACAAGTCGGCGCCGAGCGTTTCCCAGACGGTCTTTGCCATTTCAAACGGTCGATGCCATCGGGGCAAATATGTATAAAGAGTAACGTTTCAATTCAAATGTACAACAGTATCGTGAAATGAAATAGTAAAGAACTTAGTGAAAAAGGTGCACAAGCTTTGGAACCCCCGTGGACAGACGTGTTGGCGGTTAATAACACTCTCACCCTCCGACAGATTAACTCTTCTATATTCAGCCGTGTGTACAACGCAAGGATGCGGGCGATCTACCTACGATGTTTGTTCTTTTTTTTCTGTTGCTGCTGTTAACATCCGTTGTCGGCAGCAGTGAATCAACGAAAGAAGAAAACAACAAACACGCTCAAGTTTGCAAAGTGCAAACTTTAAAATGCAAAAGGCAATTGCAGGCTAACACTTTCTCAGTACTCCACATATACGCGAATATAAGAACAGTGTGGTTCATCAAGACGACACACTCCACATGTACATCTAAGAGTGCCATTAAAGGCAACCTATTTACTGTGTACTTTGTAAGCACATCTCCCTGAGAATTAGGTCTCGCGTGCTGAGAGTCGACACAGATTTCTCTCAGCACTTGAAGATTACGGTAGGCCATTAGCCCAGGACGGTGTCCCCTGTACTTACCACCTTCCCGCCGACCAGTGCACAGGATGTGTGCTTAATCACAGGCCTGACCGTGTACCTACAAACACACACACACATATGCACGCAGACACACACACACACACACACACACACACACACACACACACACACACTCACACACACACACACGCACTCACACTCACACTCACACACACACACTCACACACACTTACCACGTTCCCACCGACCACTGTAATTGCGTGAAGCATAGGTGATTAATCATGGACCTCCCTGTGTAACTTTACACATTGTTGTATCCAGAACCGTGCTTTAGCCAAAACCATGCTCAGGCACAATCCTGGGGCAAATGTACGGTCTTGGTTACGCGGAGACTATCCAGACCCGTACCCGATCCTAACCCTAACCCATTCAGGTATATAGCAAGATAGGCGCAGTTCTGGGTACAGTATGTACACGCACACACATAAATCTCCCACACGCCCGCCGGCTTACCTCCAATCGATGACCTTCTGACCCTTCGTGACATCGCTTCCGTCAGCGCCCAATGGAGGGGTTAAAGGTCACGCCCTTGAGAGTTGACCCTTGACCCGACCCCTCTGCTCCCAGCGACCCCTCGCGGTTACTGATGACGTCATAAATCATTATCGAGATTACTTTGATGAAAGATATTTTTGAGACGACGTCAGTTGCAACCTTGGGTACGTAAATGTACGTGCGCATTTATACACGTACACGTAGAGTAACGTCGAAGCAGAGTCTTGCTATTCAGATCACGGAGAAACAGGAAGAAAATGCTCTCCCCTTCAATTGAAGACCGTATGCTTAAGTGATTATGTATGAAGGTAAAGTAGAACAACACATACGGCCTCATGCGTTGAATCCGACTACAGTAATCTCAGTTACGGAAAACCCAAAGGAGAACAGCTAAAGTGAAATACTGTTCAAAACGAAATTGAATCACGGTACATTCCCCGAAGACTATGCCTTGACGTTCTCTCAGCGTTTTGATGCGCTCTGGGAAATAACCCCTGATAATGTGTTATTCTTGAACCGGACTGCAAAGTAACGCCTGCTCGCACGCTATCCTACTGATATCAGAGTCAAACCTGTACCAATGAGCAACTGGTCATTCCCAAGGACTCAACAGTGCAGATTCGAACCCAGAACCTTCGTATTCTAAGTCAACAACCTTAAAGAAAGGACCATCTTCCCACTTTATTGATGGAATTCCTGTCAATGATAACTGCAACAGCTTCAGCACCCCGGACGGAGCTCGCCCTTTGCCTGTTGCGTGGTCAGAACTGATGACACGCGGCGCAGCAAAGCGCTGCACTACATATTTGTAAATAGTGTGTTTCTGTTTACTTGTCTTGTTTTTTTTTAAACCAATAGTTCAGGGGAGCATCGGCATTCCCTGCTTTTGTATGATTTTGTCTGATTGAATAAATTGAATTGAATTAAAATTGAAAAATCGTTCCATCTCGACCCGGTACTGAGGAAAGGCCGGGCCGGAGATTCAGACGATCGGAAGGCCGGGAGTTGATTGATCTGCGCCTCTGTAGTCCATCCGCGGAGCTTGTTATGTAAAGCACGGCAGGCGGCGGCGGAGAGATGGTGCAGATAAGGCGGGAAGTCGCTCAGGCCGTCGCCTGGCAACGGCGCAGGTCAGGGATGATTGACGTGTGCGCAGACGAACATCTGTGTCCGCTGAGGGAAGCTGTTATCGCCCGATTTGGGCAACCAGAAGATCAGGAAGCCAGGAATAAATATATGTTTAAAAACATGAGGAAGACGTCAGACTTGAAAATTGTTGCAGACATGAGACACGATGGAAGTCTACAGAACCATTGTGATCCTTTTGAAAGAGCAGGCGTCGTGGGTCGTTGTTGTTGGTCGCTTATGAAAAGGCCGGGACTGTATGGAACTCGGTACATCAAGTTTGGGATTGACAACTATAAAACTTGTCTCTATCATGCATGTTCCTTAAACTCAACCCACATGCTTCGTTCCACTTCGATCCGATACTTCTGTCCTGTATATGTGTCATATGTATGTATGCATGTATGTATGTATGTATGTATGTATGTATGTATGTATGTGTGTGTGTGTGTGTGTGTGTTTGTGTGCCTATGTGTATGCATGTGTGAGTGCGGATGTATGTTCCTGTGCGTACACTGTGTGCGTTTGTGTGTGTACGTGTGTGTGTGTGTGTGTGTCTCTGTGTATGTGTGTGTGTGTACGCTCGTGTGTGTCGGTGTGCGCTCTTACGTTTATGCGCGTTTATTACTGTCCTGCTAACTTTTATGAAAGAACTTCTGTCTTGTGTTCCCCTGGCACCCACAGAACCGTGCCTGAACATGGTGATGAATAAAGCTCGGTTCAGAATACATCTGGACTACTAGTATCTATAACCTTCTGTCTTCCTGTGGCGGTCCTGACGGCAATTAACTGCGGGAAGGTTCGGCGGGCCGTATGTGTGTGTGTCTGTGCGCGTGTTTGGGTGTGTATGCGTTTGTTTATATATATATGTGTGTGTATGTGTGTGTGTGTGTGTGTGTGTGTGTATGTGTGTGTGTGTGTGTGAGTATGTCTGTGTAGCTGTGGGTGAATGTATGTCTGTGTGTGTGCATGTGTGTATGTCCGTGTGTGTCGGTGTGCGCTCTTACGTTTATGCGCGTGCATTACTTTACCACTAACTTTTATGACAGAACTTCTGCCTTCTGTCTTCCCATCCAGCTGTCCTGACGGCGATTAACTGCGGGAAGGTGCGGTGGGCCACGCGGGTGATGGACCTGTTCACCGCCGCCAAGCTGCTCGCGCTGGCCCTCATCATCGGCCTCGGGATCATGCAGCTCGCAAAGGGTGAGGCAGGGGAGGGTGTATCCAGAAATATGCTTTCTCAGTTACAGTTCTTGCTTGGTTAGTTCACATGTATTCATAACCGTGATCTATCCAAAACCATGCTCAGGCACGATTATGGATAGTCCACATGTATTCAGAATCATGCTTTATCCATCACCATGGTGAAGCACAGTTCTGGACAGTACACACGAATCCAGAACTATGCCTGGGGCAAATCTACGTACATAGATACACGGAGACTGTCCAGAACAGTGCCTGATCCTAACCCATTCAGGCAAAACTTGATAGGCATGGTTATGGAGTAATATGGAGTAAGCGAACGAATGTGTCCTGTGGCGGTTGACTCATTGATTGATTGATCAAGCAGTGATTGATGAGTATTTTTATATTAAGTGTTATTGTGTAATGTCGTGTTAATTTTTATGGGACACCAAGTGTTATCAATAACTGATTAACCAAATTTAATAAAACTGGTACGGTAATATCATATTAAGTGTCCGCCAGCCTGGGACGAATTCCCGCCACACGTATCGGCATAGCTTTGAAGGGCCGGCAAGTGCATGTTCCTGTAGTGTTAGGTGCATGCAGGCTTGGCTATTATAAACTTAAAAAAAAAAAACTTGCCAACTTCCCACCAATAATAGTGATCCCCACCATATCGCTATAGCCGACGAAACACACCAGGTTGTTGATCTGCATCTTTATAGCCGCGTTAACAGACCCTAGGGTGTCACACACCAGCTTCTGTATCTGTAGAACCGGTTTAACCGCCTTTCGGCGTAACACACCAGCTAATTTCCCTGTCTGCTGTTTTGTAAACAGAACGTCGTTGATCAAAACAGAACGTATAGAACGTCGCTGTTGGTGACTTTGCTTACGCTAGAACCGCGCGTTGCCCGGGGAGACGTTCTAGAGATATAATTCTTAACCACCAACACTACGGCTTATGCGAGACATCAGCAGCGGATCGTAACTTTACCAGGAGCGTTAACAAACCTTAGGGCGTAACACACACAGCTCCTGTATCTGTTTAGGAACCGGTTTAACCGCCTTTCGGTCGGGCACACCGGCTAATACTAGTAGACTCTATCTATCTCCCGGTCTGGCGTTTACATGTATAAACAGAACGTCGTTGATCAAAACAGAACTGTTGGCGACTTTGCTTACGCGAGAACCGCGCGTTGCCCGGGAGACGTTCTATAGTTCTAAACCATCACTCCAAACGCCATGTGAGAGGACGACATCAGCAGCAACAGCAGATCAGGAGCGTATTGACAAACGTTAGGACGTAACACACACAGCTCCTGTATCCTAAACCACTCCAAAGCCGGCTTTATCATATATTTCCGCCATGCCGGACAACAGCAGCAGCGGTAGGTCTTACCGGTACCAGGAGCGTGTTCGCGGCACGGCCGGCGGCGTGGTCCGGCCGGGGCTGATGCTGGTGAACTACCGCGGCGGCCCGAAGGCCCGCGCCGTGCAGAGCGTCACGGACTGGTACCGCGGAGAGCCCACCGCCTTCTACACCTGCACGGTCCGCTCGGCTCGCGAGGCTGAGGACTTCGTGCTGTACCTGCTGGGCGCCTACGAGGAGTTAGACAGCTGTTATTACAGCAGGTTCCAGGTGAGAGTAGCAAAGCTCTTTGATCTAGAATCTAATCGTTTTTTTGGAATATCTTGATCAATCCTGTCAGCATTTATATATATATCTGTTTCACTTGTTCATTGATTAATTATTGTAATTATTGTATTCAATTTCTATATGCATGATAATTCGTGCTTTGCTTGTTGTATGTATTATGTATTGTCTGGTGGCGACATGAATATAAGTGTAACTTAAGTGTGTCGCCACCGCGTCTTGTCACTATGTTTTAATAAAAAAAGTTCTTTGATCACAGCCATTTATTTTTTACGAGAAGACGTTTCGATGACCATCTGTCATCTTCATCCGGGCAATTCTGACTGGTTTACTGTGCACTGACGCTAGATGCTACTTGATGCATAGTGCACTAAGGTGTTACATGGTTCACAGTGCACTTTTCACCTTTACTGCACTATGCACCAAGTAACATCTAGCGTCAGTGCACAGTAAACCAGTCAGAATTGCCCTGATGAAGATGACAGACGGTCATCGAAACGTCGGCTCGTAAAAATAAAAATAAATGGTTATGATCAAGGAACTTCTTAACTTGAGTGCAGCGCCACACTGTCCTTGTTATGTTTTGATGCTTTGATGAATATAAAAAAAAGAACTTTGCTATTCATTCGTTTACCAACCTGATAAATAAAAAGAACTTTGCTATTCATCCGTTTACCAACCTGATGAAATTCTTTACGGAGTTTCCAGGTGCGGTTCGGGCTGCAGAAGCGGCGCCGTGTGACCTTCCACCCGCCCTATAACCTGATCCAGCAGGCTCTGTCCAGCTGCTGGCGGTTCGCCATCCCGGCAGACGCGCCGTTCCTGGGGAAGCTGCTGTTCCTGGACCTGCAGCAGAGCTACGAGAACCTGGTGACCAGGATCATGCGGCAGATCGACGACAGGACCAACGGCACGCGGCTGCCGCCCTGGTACCCCCTCAGGCGGCTGTACGACAAACTGCAGTACTTCGTCCTGGCCGCGAAGCGGGCGACGTACGAGAACGCGGCAGGAGACGTGGCGAACCGGCTGGACCAGCTGGAGTCGCCGCGCGGGCTAGGGTACCTTCACCAGGCCGCCTACTATATCAATCCGCGGCTGATCAGCCTGCTGTTGCGTCACGGGGCGGATCCGGAAGTGAGGTCATCGCGCCTGCACAAGAAGCAGCCGGTTCACTGCCTGTACTCCGCCTTCCGGAACGGCGCCTACACCGGACGTGACGACACAGACAAGCGGGTGCAGCGCTGCCTGAGGCTATTCTGCAGGGCAATGCCCCGGATACCTGTGCAGGTGGGATGAAACTACTCTTTGTTAGCATTAGCACGTATAACCCTTAATTATACAATTCCTGTCCACAACGTGTTTATCATCCCCCTCCCCATTATCTCCAATGGTGACGATTGGTCGTGGCATTCATCATAATTGTATAAAGAATTTTAATGTTTTTTATTATTATCTATAGTGTTTTGTTGTCTTGATATCATACTTTTATTCCCGCAAACTGCCCGGCCGGGCTCGGAGTTGGGAACTGTGGCCTTAGGTTTATTTGGAGGGGGGGGTCTCACTATGGCGGCCAAAGACCTCCTAGCAGACAAAATTAACATACTTGCGAATGATGATTTCTTACAGACACTATCATCAGACGAAGACCCAGACCTCCGGGAGACGAAGAACACGCACGAGCAGATGTGGAACTCCTGGGTACCTGCCGACAGGTGGTCGGCACCCTGTGATCTCAAACACCTGTGCAGGTGTTCCGTACGGCGGCTTCTGAGGGAGAGGACCTGTCTACCTGACGGCATCTTCCTCTTACCTTTACCTGCCCTGCTGCACAGATACCTCAACTTGGAACATGACTGAACTGGGAAGGAAGGAGTCATGTGGCTGTTCTAGTTTAGCAGGGAATTCGATTTAGTCTTGCTATACATGTTTTCTTTCAAAGAAAAAAAATATACAACAAAGGAAAATATATATATGGCACTGCATTGCACAGTATTTATAAACCCACATTTGCCTGGGATCTCATCATGATCTATACTGTACGAGCCCGTTGTTAATTTATGTACATTGAGATAACGAATTTATCTGTAGATTTTGTTAGTTTGTTTACAACTGAATTAAAAACTTTGTAAAAACACAACGTTTCTGTGTCATTACGTATCGGTTGTTTGAAGATGAAACATCAACACTAACAGTTTTGAAGACGATTATTCGACTATAGTCACCCACACCGCCTGCTGTTTCATTCCCCCTGTCCACCCTACACAGCCGAGAAGACTGTTTTTTTATATGACTGTTGCATTCAGAGCCATGATAATTAGGGTTCTAGTCCACGCGTATTAAATCTACGTTCTTGGATAAGTGTACACTATCCAGAACCGTGCCTGATCCTAACCCAATCCGATTAAAGCGTAGAACTAGATAAACACAGTTCTGGATACAATAGTGCTTGTTCCTAACCCCAACCCATCCAGGCACAGAGCTCCATCCAGGCAATGAACTAAATAGGCACGGTTCTGGATACAAAAGAGACTACCCAGAACTGTATGTACTTGATCCTAATCCCAAGCCATCCAGACACAGAACTACACAGACGGTGTTCTGTATACGCTAACGCCCCCGGTTGTGTGTCACCAGGTGAGACGCAGCACCTGCAGCCCGCCACGTCGTTCCGCGGCACGTCAGGCTCCGTGGGCGGCATCGCGCTCGCCTTCTACTCAGGACTCTTCGCCTACGGAGGCTGGTAAGTCGTTAGCAAAGACAGAGGAAAATAGACGGCAACTTTGGAAAGATATAACGTTACACAACGCCACAAAAAGACTGACAAAACAAGCCAAAGCATTAGTGCTGTTCCCGTTTCCACAGGATATGAATCACGATGCCTACACGAAAATTGCCATTGCTGTACAGCGATAGTCATTTACAGCTGATCATTACTAGCTGACAAACGGAGATCCAACACAGGCCTTTGTCTTCCCACAGGAACTACCTGAACTTCGTGACGGAGGAAATGAAGAACCCGTACAGGTACGTTCCACCTACTTCACTTTCTTATCCGTTAGTTTCACATTCAAGGAACCTGTATCAGTTCAGTACACTGTCCTTCCATTCCAGGAATCTACTTCACCAATTTGTCAGTTTCGAATTCCAGGAACTTACTTTACCACTCTGTCCCTACCATTCCAGAAACCTACTTCACCACTCTGCCCCTTTCATTCCAGAAATCTACTTCACCATGCACTCTGTGCCTTATACTATTATATTCCTGGAACCTACTTCATCAGATTTCAGAAACAGTAACCTCACAATTTTGTCCCTTCCTATTCCACCCATTCCCCCTATCCCTCACATTCCAGGAGAATACTCTAATCCTGTCTCTTCCATTCCAGGAACCTACTTCACCGCTCTGTCGCTAACATTTCAGGAACCGTAACTTCACAACTTTGTCCCTTCCTATCCCACCCATCCCCCTATCCCTCTCATTCCAGGAAAATACTCTAACCCTGTCTCTTCCATTCCTGGAACTTACTTCACCACTCTGTCGCTCACATTTCAGGAACAGTAACTTCACAATTTTGTCCCTTCCTCTTTCACCCATCCCTCACATTCCAGGAAAATACTCTAGACTAACTTTATCTCTTCCCTTCCAGGAACCTGCCGCGGTCCATCATGATCTCCCTGCCTCTCGTGACGATAGTGTACATCCTCGCTAACGTGGCGTACTTCACCACTCTGTCGCTCACATTCCAGGAAAATACTCTAACTCTGTCTCTTCCATTCCAGGAACCTGCCTCGGGCCATCATGATCTCCCTGCCGCTGGTGACGGTGGCGTACATCCTGGCTAACGTGGCGTACTTCACCACTCTGTCGCTCACATTCCAGGAAAATACTCTAACTCTGTCTCTTCCATTCCAGGAACCTGCCGCGGGCCATCATGATCTCCCTGCCGCTGGTGACGATAGTGTACATCCTGGCTAACGTGGCGTACTTCACCACTCTGTCTCCGGACGAGCTGCTCAAGTCTAACGCCGTGGCCGTGGTATGGACACATTCCTTTCATTTAAGTGTTTGACAAGAGTATCTTATAACCCTGAATCTTGTATGATTACTTGTATAAAAATAGTAGGGTGGTTTATTTAGAAACTTAAACTTAAACAAACATGTATATACACAATACGCTCTGGCAGCAGACTCGCAGGCAACCTTACTGGAAGCCTGGATTGCTCTGTGGTCAACAAAAGAGTTTATTGCAAATCCATGCTCGAGGGCTAATTGCAAGAACATGTTAAATAGTAGACCGCAAAACGATAATGAATAATGCTACCAGTGGTACTTTTGATACGTTATTGTTATAGTCTGTCCATATATCTTCCCCAGACGTACGGAGACCGGCTACTCGGCGCGGCGAACTGGATCATTCCCGTTTTCGTCGCCATGTCGACTTTCGGGGGCGTCAACGGCTCGCTCTTCACGTCATCACGGTAAAGGGGGTGGACGTCTGTAGATGTAGAATTATAGTAGATGCTAGCTGAAACGTTTGCTTCTTCAGATTATCCAACCAGTGCTTGATTTTTTAAATGCATGTTGTAACGTTCTACCTTGATGTTTAACATTTAGCTGTGTAGATACATTTTTTTCAGTCAAGGGCACGTACTTGCCATTTGAATCCTAGTCATGAGGATACTTTGTGGTTTTATCTACACATGTCTGCCGCAGATTGTTCTTCGTGGGAGCGCGTGAGGGTCACCTGCCCGACATCCTGGCCATGATCCACGTCAGACGATTCACTCCGGTCCCCTCTCTCATCTTCACTGTAAGACACTGATAATACTGAACGGACCAACGAACGAACGACTATATGAAAGAGTATACACGACTGATTGCCTGACTGACTGAGTGAGTGACTAAGTGACTGACTGAGTGACTGAGTGAATGAACGAAAGACGCATATTGCAAGGAAACATCGACTGGGTCAAACACAGCAGTAGCTTCTACTTCTCTAAGCTTGTATCAACTTCTTAGTACTATGTGATATGTCTCTGACGTCTCTCATTACACGGTTCCCTCTTCTTGTGCCGCTATAACCTTCAAGTAGACTTGTAGTCGTGCTGTATGGCAGCTGCAATAAGGTCTGGCCTGTGCCGTTTTCACCATTAATGTACGATTTGATTATCTCCCTCTGAAGTGCCTGATGTCGCTGCTGATGCTGGTATCCGGCGACATGTTCGACCTCATCAACTACTTCAGCTTCTTCAACTGGCTGTGTGTGGGGATCGCCATCATCGGGCAGCTCATTCTGCGCGTCATGAAACCTGACATGCCCCGTCCTGTCAAGGTGCATGGGTTGTCGTGTTGCTGTGTCGTGCCTTGTCGTGTCTTGTTGTATCTTGTCGTGTCGTGTCGTGTGTGGAGATCACGATCATCGGGCAGCTCATTCTGCGGGTCATGAAACCGGACATGCACCGTCCGGTCAAGGTGCATTGGTTGTCGTGCCTTGTCGTGTGTTGTTGTATCTTGTCGTGTCGTGTCGTGTGTGCGGTTCACGATGGGTGTCGTGCAGTGCCATGTTGTGTCGTGCCTCGTAGTGTCGTGTCCGTGTCGTGCCTTGTCGGATCGTGTCGTGTCGCTATGTATAGGACAACAGACGTGGCGTCTTGATCTACAGATGACCAGAATCAGCCAGCTTATTGCGGAACACCGGCTACAGGGCAAATCCCATCGTGTCGTGCTGTACCTTGTCGCATTGTGCCGTATGTATAGGGCAACAGACGTGGCAATGGGCTCATTATCTACCTATTACCAGAATCTGCTCAGCCAGGTTATCGCAGAAACAACGGCTACAGTGCAAAAACTACCATGTTGTGTCGTGCGCTAGTGTATGGCTATGCGGAGAAACAAATACAGACACCTAACATTCGAGGGATATGCCGTGTCGTGTCGTGTTGTGCCTTGTCGTGTCTGTGTCGTGCCTTGTTGGATAGTGTCGTCTCTTGTCGGTATGTAGTGGACAACAGAATCTTGATCTATCGGTGGCCAGAATCTGCTCAGCCAGGTTATCGCAAGAACAACGGCTACAGTGCAAGTCCTGTGGTATGGTGCGATCCGCTAATGTATGGCTATATGCATGTGCACGGGAAAACAGATTGGGCACTTCATTGATCATCGAGGGATATGCCGACCCAGGTACACCTCGCCCTGCCCATCTTCTTCGTGCTGGCCTGCATGTTCCTGGTGATCGTGTCGATCTACGAGACGCCCGTGCAGTGCCTGGTGGGCTTCGGCATCATCCTGTCGGGGCTGCCCGTCTACTTCGTCGGCGTCTGGTGGAAGGCGAAGCCGAAGTGGCTCGTGGAGGGACTCGGTAACTTCTTAACCTCTCTTTCCATTGCAAAAAAAGTTGTGTATTTAGTTGATTGGCCTAAAATCGTAGCTGCGTTTTCAAGTATACTTTGGGACTGTGAATGTTTGTTTCTTGACCGAATAGATAGAAAGAATTCAAATGGAACAAGCGACAAGAATATGCTGTTCAAATGGAACTCCCTGTTGTTGTATATATTCAATCTGAACAGCATGTTGACATACAAGTGCATGTGATGTTATAATACAAGAATAGTATATTCCCTGCATTAGACACTTTCATGTCTCAGGTATGTTCTTGGCATTTGATAATTTCTATTCCCGGAACTGTTAAAGTTTTTTTCCAATCTTGCAGACTCAGTGACGCGAGTCTTACAGAAAACCCTGGAGGTCATGCCCGAGGAGCAGGCCACCGACCTCTCAGGGTCACGGGAAGGCGGGAAAATCCCCGCGAAGGTCCCGGATGTTGCAGACGACCCTGACGAGGAGCCGGTTCAAAATGGCGGCCAGGCGGCGGACGGAAATGACGTCACGACGCAGAACGTGCTCAACCGGAAGGCCAGTAGGAAAGGAAAGGAAGATACGGATGCTGACGACGACGTTTTTCAGAAAATCGAAACCTAGATCTTGATTGCAGCAGCGCTTGTTGTGTGATTGTCACCATAGTTTTTCCTTCGGCCTTTCCTGCTGTACACTCTCAGTACTTAGCTATTGTATTCAGAACCGTTATTATCTAGTTTTATGCCTGAATTGTAGGCTAAGGCACGGTTCTGGATAGTCTCCACGTATCCAAGAATGTAGATTTGCCACCCCAGACACGGTTCTGGATACATGTGGACTATCGCAGAGCCGTGCATGAGCATGTTTCTGGATCAAGCACGGTTCTGCATACAACAAGAGCAGCTTGAGAACGATATATCATGATCGTATTGTCACCTAATTGATGCTAGTACTTTAGATTGGATGTTTTGGTCTCAGGAGTGTGAAGTTATCCAGTGTCCAGCACTTTGTATCAACAGTTTAGTGACCCTGCATGTTATCATATATTACCAGGTACAAAAGATCCCTACTTTAGAATCGTAGTCTACACTGCACTTAGTTTTACCTAGTATTTCAAGTTCATATTGTTTATACGTGAGTAGACATGTTGATCACGAGTCCCTTGTAGATGTTTGTGGATAGGTGCAGCATTTAGTAACTTACACAAGAAGCTAAGGTTACTCTGTGGTTAGTTTGGTGTCAGTTTGCCGAACAAGTGTAGATAAACCCTTGTTGTGTTAGTCACTGCACCCAAGTGTAAAGAAAGCAACGATACAAACAAGTCCACAAACATGCTGTACAACGATATCTGCAACACCAGTGTAAATTGATAAATAACTTATATAGGTAACACTGTACTGCCAACGCCAGTGTTGGGCTTTGCAGCACCGATGCAAATCGGCAGGTGGCGCTTCTGTGCCTATAGCCAAAGTTGCAGTCCGAAGAAACTTGGCTGACAAGGAATGGAGTGATTCAGCGCCCGTCACAGACAAGATTCCGCATAGAACCAAAATCATAACAGCGTCAACAAACACAGGGGACCTTCTAGATGTGTTTGACTGGCCTCTGGCACCGGTACTGACAAGATTTCAACAGAATGGTAACGTTGAATCCTTCTTGGGTCCTTTTCAAGGTCAGATGGGGAGGGGGGCAACTTTTGACCAGTAGCTTGCCATTTTCTTATGAAGAAAGCTTTCCACACAGGTCACTTTATGTAATACACGTGGCAAACATGGCATGGTAGATGTGGATGGGTTACATGTACTATAATGTAGCTGTGATATGGTGAAATGGGCACCAGGCTCCCGGATATCATGCAAAATTGCGACATTATGTAACATTCCTTCAGGATGAAGAGTTTTGTCTAGCTACCGTATCATATATATTTAGATTATTCGTCAAAAACTGCAGGCTAGGTAACATTGTCTTGCATCGTGGGTCCACAGAGTTACGAACAACACATAATGAGGCAAAAACTTACCACAACCGTCCAATCCATGAAAGTTGCCAGACTTGTCTCGCTTTACTGCGCATATGTTATGCCTCTACATGTACAATAGCGCCACACGGTGATGCGATGCTATAACTGCAGATCTATATACACGGCACACGTTGACGTTTCGTACAGTAAAACTGAGTTTATTCCAAGAGTGTTATGTACAAAGTAAGGCTTGTGACGTTTTATTTCCGCCGTACTAGTGACACGTACAGCTGGAACATTGTCCAGCACACATTAGACATTTCACCACCAAGACTCCACAAAAAGTGCACATTACGTACGTTTTACCACTCTGTCGTGCCAGGGGACATTTAGGTGCAGCCCAAGTTTCATGGGGACTTTCCTTGTTCAGTACATACTATATATTATATATACTTTCACACGCCTGCGGGTGTTTTTTTATATCCTTCATCATATTAAGTACACATGATAATTTTCCGTTTAATTCTGTGAATATTTACCTGCAACATTTAACTGTCGTGATGATGATGAGAATTTTCGCTGAAATTAGTTACAAGATAATATTCTCAGCTATTTCTACAGAGGACATCTGCCTGTGGTCACTTCAGTACTGAAGATGATTTGTTGACACATTCAAAACACAATGCAATTATGTAGGTTGTTGGGAAAGTTGGGTCCATAGTATATGTCTCTCCATAGATCTATCTCTTGGGGCTGTCCGAATAAATATTGTCTGTGGAGGCAGTTTCAATAGTACCTTTTTATGTGACCTGTTAGAAGTACGGCTTGAAAAACGGATGTCGTCTGCAGAAACAGAACAAAATGCCACAACCATTGATATGTACAAGTAGTTATAATTACAAGTCTTGGTCCACAAAAATAGTCCACGTCTCAGACATTAAGACAAGTCACAGAGGCATCAGGTGGTCCGTTTACGTGAGCGGCACGTCTAAGGATTATCTACAAGGCCTCGGGTCGGTCACTTTACTTAGGACACAAACATACGAGGGGGAAGTAGCTTCATTTGTAAAGGACTTTCTCTATGTATCCATAATGACGAAAACTGGGAACTGACCTTTGGGAGGCTTTCCCATGCATTCATGTACTCTCCAAGCAGAGGTTGTGGGGAAATGATCGTTGCATTTTTATATATGGCCGTTTTTTTGTTCTGACCCCCGTCGGTGGCCGCGGACCTTCTCTGGCTAATGGATACTGCCTGGCCAATTTGATACTGTCTTTTTGCCACCGAGAGGGATCTGCTTGGAGATTAGTATTCATGAAGAAAACCGGAAAATGATATGCATAACCGTCAACCATGGGAATCTGAGCTATTTCTTCGTATTATTACACCTCTGGTAAATCTGAGACTACTCACAACATTCATGTAAATTTATCTATACATCCATGTCCTTTGCCCAACGCTCGTTTTCAGCCTTCTAGAGCTGAGTAAGATGAGCTGTCCATGGCGCCTCCAAAGTGCCGATTCTTGGGAGATTCGCTAGGGGGCGCAATTTCACTTCTCCCTGGGACGAAGCTGTTGAATGGAGTAGCCCTAAAGTCGTTCGCATTCTTTCACATCAGAGTGTATTCCATTGCTTGGCCTTGGGTAAGGCGGTCTGATAAGACACTACAGAAGTTAGTGTTCGATGTGTTGGCACGTCATATTTCCCCTGGAATGATGACGCTTCACGGTTCTGTGCCCTAGTTTCGATGACGTCCTGCACAACTGGTGGTGACGCTGCATGGTTTCGCACTTCAGCGTACCACGAAGAAGTAGACTGACCAGTAGAGGAGGTTGAAGAGTAGGAAGGCCAGCGGGAAGAGCAGTTTGCTGATTTCGTCCACTTTCTCGGCTATCTGCCTGCCGTCCATCTTTGTGACCTTCACAGGAGTCTCAAGGTGATTCTGATTGTGGGAGTCTTCTTGTATCTTGAAGAAATGGCAGTTTTCTGTATGGTCGCTAGGCGTCTCACTCTTGGCCTAAGGAAAGGGAAGAATAATTACCTGTAAGATGTTGGCATTTACCTTTTTTTACTGAAAACCGATACCATACCCGCCTGTACGTGGTTAGACGTTTCTGACGGGGACAATCGAATAATTGGTCCAATAAATGTGCTAAAACAGCTAGGAGAATCTGGAGAATGAACGGACACACATGTCACAGAATGTACCGGCTATTTCTGAAAAGTAAGAAGATGACATGTTTAAGACGAAAGACGTACCCTGGTGGTCCTAGGCCTTGAGATGTAGCTGACGTAGGCATACTGAAAGGAAATCTGTAAGACACCCTTTTTTGTAAATGAAAGTTGACGAAAGTTTGAAGACGTACCCTGATGGTCCTTGAGATGTAGTTGACGGAGGCGTACTCGATAAGCGCCAGGAAGACGAAGAGCTGACACACCAGCAGCCAGACGTCCACGGCCCGCACGTACGACACTTCCGGCATGGCCTCCGTGCGGCCGCTCTGGGGAACACAACCGGGCGGGAAAGGGTAAGGTCCCATTGGCATTTTGAGGCAGCGGGTTAGAATTGTTTAGGGCACGGTATTGGAAGGTTGAGCCCGCTCTTTCCACCGCCTTCTACTTCGCCGAAAGACGTCGGGAAACCGTTTTACACCTAGGGAAAGTCGTATCTAATAATTCCCCGATCGAACCAGTGACCGCTTGGCCTCGTACAGCTAGCCTATCCACTAGGTCGTTCGACGTCAACAGGAACACCAGACAAGGTTTGGACGTGTTTCTGTGGTTTGAAAAATTACAGACTTACGACCTTTTTGTGTGTTTTGTTGTCTTTTAGATCATAAAACTGCCCGGTCGGGTTAGGAATTGTGGCTACAACATAAAATGTGTAAGATTTAGTGTTTGCGGACCTGTGTGATCATGGTGAGGACAGTGGTGACGCCCAGCGCCGTCCTGGCGGGAGCAGCGTCCTTGTTCAGCCAGAAGGAGATCCACGACATGGCCACGATGCTGATGGACGGGATGTAGGTCTGCAGGAGGTGGTACGACAGTCGCCGCGTCAGCGTGAACCGCAGCTCGCCGGTCGTGAAGACCTGGTCACCCTGCGTCACTGAAAAACATGATTCCCGCATGGATGGACACTAGGGCCCCTTTTGTCATAACAACGATAACTACATGTAGCTATATAGGAGGTGATAGGACAGCATTCGGGTCTGGTTGAACCCAAGCTCTATCGTTGTAAAAACTTGGTCAACCTGTGTCTCTGCAAAACATACACACGCATGGGTTCCGCAGGGATGGATATTTGGCCCTCTTTCGCCATTTTACTGATGATTAGGACAACGCTGATGTATAGGACGAAGATCCAAAGGAGGTGGTAGCCCCTTCTCCAATTGTAGACCCAACCCAACAGTTTACATGTCATAACAAAAGCATAACTGCTTGCCAACTGCTGCAGTAATGGACAACCAAAATAAGCAACAGTACTGGTGTGCAATGAACATGTGATACGATTCTGGTGACCTACCGTGCCGTTATGAGTTTACCTACCGGCGTGCAGACTCTTGCAGTCCTGGACCGTGCCGTTGTGGCAGACCCCGCTGAAGTAGTTGCAGGTGCGGCACTCCTGCGAGGTGATCCTCTCCACGCTGGTGCACTGCTTCCGCAGGCAGTTCTCCGTCTCGCCGTAGTCGCAGGCGCCGCCCTCGTACACGCAGATCGCCTCTGCAACAATGTGGCAAATATCATCAGTGTTTGACAATGTAACAATGTGACAATCATGCTCGCCGTAGTCACAGGCGCCGCCCTCGTACACGCCCTCTGCAACAACGTGGCAAATATCTCAGAAGCAGTGTGTGGCAGTGTAAAAATGTGGCAATCATGATCAGTAGCACTGGACACTGTAAGATATCGGACGCCAAACTATTTACATCAGGGCCCATCACCCTTCACTCAACAGAGACGGGGGCCGACATCTTCAACCTCTGTGTTGACGTCACACATCAAAGAAGCCACGTGACAAGCCCTACTGGGTCAGTCTACTGAAGAAGACCAGAATGACTGGTCGAAAGCTCTAGCTAGGCGATAGAAGTTCTATCTTTGTGTTGAAAAAATTCAATCGTGATCAATCGCAGTGTGTGACAATGTAACGATGTGGCAGTCAAGACAAGCCTAATCAAAACTTATCATAAAAATCTAATTTTTCTAACATCTGCTTGGAGCCGTTGCTAAGGCGCCCCACCTGGCAACACCAGCGAGTTGACGTAGGCAAACGTCTCCACCGTCTCCAGCTGCAGCTGCGAGTGGAGCCCGGATGTTCGCGTCACCACCGGCGTCGCCCCGGGAAACCAGTAAGTGGACCATCCCCACAGGATCCGCACGCCGCCAACTGCAGAGGGAAGGGTTAGGTTGGGTTTGAGTTCTTTCATTAAATATTGCTCCTTTTAAGCACATAAGAGTAACCCAGGCTACGCGGCTTTACCCAAGTAATATTTCATCTTGTACATGTATATACATGGTAATAAAGATTTTAAACCGCAGACAAAGATGCTTCCTGTTTAATTCATTCCATCTTTAATCCGGAATCTCCCATTGTTTAGTGTTTGTTCAGGGAATGTAGGACAAATGAAATATTTGCTGTATCATAATGCATTAAACTTTATCATCAAATCTGTAATCAAATCCCGTTGTATAGCACCCAATAAGGGTCATAACAGTGTAGGCCTGTCTTATATCAGAGCAAGGTACTTTAGTGGTGTTACTCATATGTAGTAGTAAGTTGTTATATGCTAGCCCAACTCATCAGGATTTAGACCTGTAATGTCCTAAGTTTTCGTTTTATGAAACTCCTGCTTGAACAGCACGTATTCGATTTGACGAGTCGGCTCGGGCATGTCTGTGTGGATGAAGTTCTAATCTACGGCCAGAAAAGGAATCCAATTTCGCTGCAGAAACTTCAATTCGATTTTCCGGATGTTGGAACCGCGCCATGTGACATGTCAGGGAGGATTGATGTTCCTGAAGAAAGAGTTACGAAAACAGAGCTGCAGAAATACGGCATACTGTAATACATGTCCCTTCCTGAACACGTACGGCAGTAAACAAAATTGCTTTAGCCAGATTTAGATCTAATCCCGGAGGCACATAATTGTTTATTAATCTTTATCACATTTATTCATCCACTGAGGACGTAGCGAGTAACGGTTATAATCTATTCTCTACTCGAGATAGATATTGGCTATGCCCATTCATCTATTGCATTAACGGCATGGCGTAGCCATGCAAATAACTGTGCTTTTATCTTCAGCCGTTTGTGAAGATGTATTGGTGATGCGGGCGGCCTTCTGTCAATGGTACTTCTATCACCGCCATCTCATCTGCACTGATAGCGTTTTTGGCTGGTGGCCAGAAGACCGGAGGAGCAGGTGCTTTGTCGTCCTCCTGGCTTTTATTGCTGTAGTTTTTATCTCGGATCAGACTGGACGCACATCTTTGTCACTGGGTATAGCGATCAAACTTTACAAGTGAATTTCAGACAAGCGCAACGCAGAAAGTTTGGGCGGTGGCTAGCTGCTGGGGAAAGCATGTGCTTTGTTACTGCTCTTCGATTGCCTTGCGTTGGTCCGGTTATTACCGTAGTTTAATCTTTAGAATTAGACTGGAAGCATATTCTTGTCAATGGCTGTAGCAATCAAACTTAATAAGGAATCTTTCTGTCTGCCATGAAAGTTGGAAGGCGTCCCAGAGTGAAGGAGGCAACCTACATCATAAAGAGGATGTAGTCAGTGTGATGGGGTACATAGAATAGTTTTAAAGATGCCCCATAAGGCAGAGGTTGGTGCTTAGGTCAGGCAGTCGGGGTCCAGGCTTGAGAGAGGAAGGTCCGGTTGGCATGTGTACAAGGGCAGGAGACTTGCATTAAATTGGGTTCTTGGAGTTCAACCACGGCTCATTTCCTGACAGTCAGGGGCCATACAAACACTCTAGCATTGCCTCTAATCTCCAAGCAGATCCTACGGTGGCAAGGCAATAACCATTGGCCAAGCAGTGACCGCCAACCTGTCTTCGGTGGCTAATGGTCACTGCTGGCCAATGTTTACTGCCTTCCCACCTTTGGATCTTCTTGGAGGCCAACTACCTCGCTTACGTGCATATTGCGTTTCTATGTCTCATGAGCGAATCGGTGAGTCACTACTACATGTATGTATGCAGAAGACCCTAGGAATGGCAGAACTTTAGTAGGTGATTTTGTCGTACAGAACTGACCATGGACAAGGATCTACGACAATATTGTCCGTCACACTAGTATTCTGTAGGACCCATTTATAACGACCCCAACGATGCCTCAAGGAGACAGAGTCAACACCATTTCATGCTAAAGACCGAAATTTCGATAACGTTTTCTAATCTTGGCTTGATAGCAAAGTCGTCATTCGTCAGTCATTAGTGCTATACGCATGGTAGAAGATATGAAGGGTGAGAAAAACTGTGACTCACGGATGTTGAACAGAACGCTGCACTTCTGCCGGTCCAGCGGGTAGGCCTGCAGCTGCATCAGGCAAGTCACCTTCAAGGTGTACCTGCAAGGGAGGGAACAGGAACATGATTTCCATGCAGATCCTACGGTGGCAAGGCAGTATCCATTGGCCAGAGGAGTTCCCATTAGCCACCAATGTTTACTGCCTTGCCACCGTATGATCTGCTTGGAAATTACAGGAACATTCAGTTTCTCCCATCAATGACAGTTGCTATAGTTTATTACCGAGTCGGATATTTGGTTGTGTCTTAATGTATTTGAATATAGAGTCACAGCAGAAAGAAGTCACAGGAAGTGAGGGGGAAACTAATGTAAGTTAGGAGTAGAGCATCCATTCATTTGTTTGATGTCTGTTGCAAAATGATGGAACTGTCAACTGGAAAAGTCTTCTATCTATCATCCATTTAGAGGTGAATATTTCATACACATTCACATGTTCATGTAAAAACTATACGCGTTTTTCATACGAACAAGGAATTGATATGTTTTGGTAACACGACGTTTGGTTCTTCAACTTGTAGCTCACCGCGAAAGCTGCAAATGTAAGATTTTACACATACCGACGGGACCTTTCAAAAGGCACTTTGCTTAATCATGTCCAGGTAACTTCATATGACACCATCTACCCGCACTTTTATTCAAATGGTGACCGAGGTGTGTTGTCTAACCGTGAGGTTTGCACTACCAGAAGGTGCATTGCCACAGTTCTACCGTCCCCAGACACCCCAGCCCGCCCTTGCCTATCCAACCATTATTGCCACGTACTCGCACCTGCTGCTCGGTGTGTTCTGTGAACCCAAACATCCTTCCCTTTTCCGCCCCATGGATTTCCGCTTGGGGGAAGCTTCTGTGTTTGACTATAGGAAACTGTGCATTGATTTCCCGCAGTTGTATCCGCCCTCTGATGGGCCAAAGGTGACGAAGGCAAACGCTGCTTGTTTCCAGTGATGTGAGTATGCTTAATGACAGTTATGAGGATGCCAAGGACACGTTTCTCTCGGGTGGCATTAAACTGTATCCCAGAAGGAAAAGAAAGACAAGAAGTCAACAAATGACTTGGAAAAAACAGACAGGGGACCTAAAGGAGCACCTTGGAGGAACAGGAAACCACTGGGTGGAAGAGCATCAGGCTCTGGTTACTTGCATCTGCAGCAGGTGACATTTGGTGAAGAGAAAGACGACAGTTCGAAAGTAAATAGGCTAATGGTGTAGTTACTCTGGATGCCTCTTTAATGTTTCTGAATGATGCCTTCCGGAGTTTCCAACGGCTGCCGGAAACATTAAAATTAATGCCGATTCTGGTTAGGGCCGAGACGACATGTCAAAACTAAGAACTACTTCCAGAATCAGGTCAACCCAATCGCCTCATGATTTCTTCATTCCAACTTTGATGTCACGGCGTGTGATGAGTCTTAATCGAGGTTTAAGGTTGAGAGATGTGGAATGTGGAGAAAATAACCATCTGTGCAAATGGCCGATTGAGATACAGAGTTTTTCAGATACGGTATCAGTCAGTTGAAGTTATAAGACCAGGTCGATAGATGTCGATTTCAATTGACAGAATCCGGTGACACAGTGTCAGTAGGCGCAGTCTGGATTGTACCTCTTAGTAGATTCGATTCAGCTGAAAGACTATGAGATATTTTCACATAAAACTTTAACTCTGAGACCATGCAATGTACATGTATATTGGTAGTACATTGTAGTACATTCATTTCACATAGAATCAAACATATGCCAGATTGTGTCAGTCCATATTTCAAAGCAGTAACAAACGTCAGTGTGCAACAGTCTTCTGCTTGTGGCAGTTAGCAGGTGATGTTTGTAAAGGAACAGGAAATGACGTAGGGAATGGTTAAGGATCAATCACTGAGGTGACACCTGCAATATCCGCCTGGTGTTTCACATTGAATTGCGTTGTTGCCGTTCGAATAAAGGAGAAATCACAGAGGATTACTTTCCATCACCCTGCCTGTTAGCGTTATCGATCGCAAATTGTGTCGGATTGTCGCTTAAGTAGCGCAATTAGGGGGGGAACTGTTACCGCGCGCTCATTCCCCGCGGGGCCGATCACACCGCATCAAGCTGACACATGGCAGCGGGAAGCACAACACAGATTGTCGTGACATACTGGTGATACGGAATACGTAATAAAAAAAGGGTCTCGTTCCACACTATGCAGAGCATAGGGGTGGAGCCCATCTCCATTTCCGTATCCCTTGGGTGACACACAGTTGTGCAAGGCACTACAGCAGGGGGCTGGTCCGCTGGTAGTGCTGTGTGTTTGACCTTCCCACACTCTTTCTCATATGTGCTGAGTGCTAAGCAGAGGAAGAAGTGTGTACCATCTTTAAAGTATGACCCGGCCGGGGTTTGAACTCACGACCTCCCGGTTACAAAGCGAGCACTCTACCAATTGAGCTATTGCACCGGTAATTGCATACGTAATAAACCTACATGAAATATATACTCATTATGGAAAAAAGTACTCATCTGCCTTCTAATTAAGGTTTTAGCTTGGAGCTTGAACAGCGGAAGGACGGCTATAGAAGCCTGATGTAGTCAGGTTAGGGGCCTCGGCAAGGTGATCGATCTGGTTAGGGTTGTTGTCTCAGAATCCAGAGGTTGTAGCTAGATGTAGTCACCTGTTATGTCAATCCTTCCACAAATGTGGTAAAGCTTCATAAACGATAAGCGACGAGTAGTGGAAGGGCTACTAGAAGCACGATGGAGTTAGATGTAGTTAGGCTGTCTTTCCTGCGAGTACGTGTAGCTCAGATCGATCTGCCGCTGTCTGCTGAAGGCCGAGGCGTGGCGAGACTCCCCATCGTCTGCCATCCGTCAGCTCTGACACCCCACTGCCGATCTGTCAGGTCTGACACCCTGCTGCCGACAAACGGCTTGTGATGACAGATGACACGGGTTTATCAGCCGTGAGCGGGAGTTCCGCGTGTGTTAATGAATGTCGAGTTAGGGCCGATTACGCCAGGCACCAGCAAGCAGCAGTTCATGGGCCCAGGCTCACTATCGATCAATGAATCTTGCTCTGTGGTCTGTAAAGTAGAGTGTCGGCCACTTGACAGCTTGTATGCTACACAGCGTGCTTTAAGGTTAACTTAGCTTCGATACAAATTGTGACAAATGCTGATCCAACTGCCACAAAGATGACTGTTGTAGCCAACGACTGTCAATGAATCTTTCTCTGTAGGGTGTCAGCCACTTGGCGATCTTGACAGCTTGTATGCTACCCAGCGTGATGTGCGGCAAACTAGCTTCGATACAAATTGTGACAAATGGTGATCGAAACTGCCACAAAGATGACTGTTGTAGCCAACGACTGTCACCCGGTGTGCTACATCTGTTGCACCCTACATGATTCCCTGGCTCTACTGAACGCGTTTCATGAGAATTACGCTTATTGGCGATCTTGACAGCTTGTATGCTACACATCGTGATTGAAGGTTAACTAGCTTCGATACAAATTGTGACAAATGCTGATCGAAATGCCACAAAGATGACTGTTGTAGCCAACGACTGTCAATGAATCTCTCTCTGTATTCTATAAATAGGGTGTCAGCCACTTGGCGATCTTGACAGCTTGTATGTTACACAGCATGATGTGCGGTTAACTAGCTTTGATACAAATTGTGACAAATGCTGATCCAACTGCCACAAAGATGGCTGTTGTAGCAAACGACTGCCACCCGGTGTGCTACATCTATTGCACCCTACATGATTCCCTGGTTCTACTGAAAGCGTTTCATGAGAATTACGCTTATTGGCGATCTTGACAGCTTGTATGCTACACATCGTGATTGAAGGTTAACTAGCTTCGATACAAATTGTGACAAATGCTGATCGAAACTGCCACAAAGATGGCTGTTGTAGCAAACGACTGTCACCCGGTGTGCTACATCTATTGCACCCTACGTGATTCCCTGGTTCTGCTGAAAGCGTTCCATGAGAATTACGCTTATTGGCCTGTCGGTAGGAAGGTGCTTCAGCTCGAGTTATGGAGCTTTAACACATCTTGGACACAAAAGCACATCACTGAATTAAATGAAGCCCGCTGTTTACTGAAACGAGGAATGATCTTAGTGATAAAACAGGCTTTATTTGCAGTCGTTGATGAACTTCAGAAGATTCTAAATTTTGATCTGCCCTTATCAGTCGTTCATGGTGTGATTTTGTTGATGAGCCATGTTGGAAGCCATCCATTTATTTGGAAGATGGATGAAGATATGACTGTATAACCAAAAGCGGAACAGATCCCCTCTAATTGTATCAGACAGTGAATGTGTTGCATGTCGACTATGACTGTATGCGAGTTAATTTTAGCCTGAAGTTTAGGACTCTTTAATTACCGGATTACTACTTTTGATTGCTCTTCCCAACCGTGTAACGAGCAATCACGCAGATTTGTATCCCTGCGCGTCCTGGGGATTTTTTTCCTGCAGGCGGGTGAAAATAGCTGCTCGTTTCCATTCCCGGAAGGGCGGAGGCTTCGGCTGCAGCTGAGCTTCCCGGAACAGGAGAACCTCGGCAATTACGGTTTTAATGATTTCATGCTCAGGCGGGTTCCGGGAAGCCACTTGTGGCAGGCGGTAACGAGGGCGGCACGCGAGAGGAGACGTCTCTCTCTATATATATAGATCTGCGGTAGTCGGTGTTGCTGACATTTGGATGGAGTATCTAGTACTTTCCAGGAATTGCTTCAAAAGAAAAACTTTCAGCTTTAAGTGAAATGTAATGTTTAAGAGAACGCGGCTGTGTCACAGGTATAACAATCGGTTTTAGGTATTTCAGATTTGATTATATCAAGAAAATTCGACTTCAGCTGGCGTCCGTATATCAAATGGCATATACAGTATGAGCATGGCATGTATTTTTTACCGTTGGCAACATTACATTCATGAAGGAGTCCCACTCATTTGATACTGCTGGCAGGTAGTCCCGATTACAGAGACAGTGTTCGCAATCGTCCCTCACAAGTAGCCGCTCCTGGTCACTAACTGGCAACCTTTCTGCTCCGAGGCTTAACGGAATCGGTCCCTATCAAATGGCATATATAGAATGAGCATGACATGTATTTCCATATCAATCAATATTTTGTGCTTATGAACCTGCATTTCTCCTCACTGACGAAAGCTAGTGGATACTAGCTGAAACGTCTGACCGTTTCCAAAATCATATCCAGTTGCTTGAGTAACTGCTTTTTTAGCGTATCGTATTACCTGGATGTCTAACCTTCATCGACGTATGTATTTTCATTGTTCGTAACATTGCATTAATGAAGGAGTCCCACTCATACCATTCTATTTTCTGGCAGGTAGTCCCTGTTACAGAGACAGTGTTCGCAATCACCGTGTCGCAATCGTCCCTCACAAGTAGCCGCCTCCCGGTCACTAACTGGCAACCTTCCTGCTCCCCGGCTTAACGAAATCGGTCCCTATCAAATGGCATATACAGCATGGCATGTACATTGTATTTTCATTGTTGGCAACATGTACATGTAGGAGTCCCACTCATACCATTGTATTTGGTTATGAAGCAAGTTTATACTGTAATTTCCAACACAACAAATTGGACAAATTGAGCAATCCACCGCTTCCGTGACGTCACGCAGATAACACACGTGACTCCGTGAGCAGTGGATCATAGGTTGCAGAAAGTCTGTGGAGCCCCCCGTCTCAGTTGAGGGATAGTATTTTATTTGGTATTTGGCAGGTAGTCCTGATTACAGAGACAGTGTTCGCAATCGTCCCTTACAAGTCACCGCTCCCGGTCGCTAACTGGCGACCTTTCTGCTCCCGGGTTTAACGAAATCGGTCCCTAAATCCCCGCTTTGTTGTCCCCGCTGGTCCGGGAAGCCCAAACCCACCCAGGGTATCGCACCGGAGTTGATTGGTGTCAGAAGTCACGTCCGGAGTCACGGCGACAATGAAGCGAGAGCTGAAGAATTGGGTCAAGGACTGCATAAACTCGCCTTCGCTTAGTCTGGATGTTATAACGTCTGTATCGATCTGCACCGGAAGCGCCTACTACTTCGCGCCCAATCATGAGACTCGCCAACTTAATTCCTTGCCATTACGAGATAACAGCTTTGCTGTATTCCATGTGCGATCTTCTAATAGATTTGGTCTAGAATCTTTGATGGCATGTTCTTCGTGTGCCGACTTGCAGATTGTTCACATTATAAGACACAGCGTGACGATATTGTGTAAAAATAATAAAGTGGCATTACTTTATCCTTTGATAAATTCACTACGGAGATAACTTCCGGACGTTTCGAGTGACATCCGTCATTTTTCTTCAGCGTCACTTACGTGTCACTGTTAGGTAAATTTATCCAGTTGTAGAGTTTGAAATGCCTTTGAACACTCCTTTATCATGTACATGATATATATCTTTCTTTAAATCTTCGGCTTGGAATGCCGGATGTCTTGTTCACTGAACGGTTACCATTTACGGATTCCAGTTAAAATCGCGGTAGATTCTGCGGTGACGAGTGTTTCATGACCTCATAGACAGGAAGCACCGCACGGGAAAGCATCTTTTGAAGCTAGGCTGAGGGCTTCTGACACGAGCCAAATGACGGCTTACTTAGCAACTTGGCCTTTATAAACGTTAATACAGCCGACGCCATCAGTAATCAAGGGTCTTTGTTCCTGCCGGAAGGCTGATCATGTTGAGCAGCCCGTGAACATCGCGTTACAATTTCCGGTAATTGGATGGTATAAGGGTGACATTAGCTGGCTTGATCCATGATCTGATCCCAAAATAGTCAAGTCAAGGCAAGTCAATCTTTACTACACAACAATTGTAACGGGTACAATGCATGGCAAACTCTTCAGTACTACATATCTAGCTAGCATCTACTCTCACGTCTACAGTATTACCTACAAGTTCTATGTATCGAAAATAACATTCTATTTCAAAAGTTAATATAGTAC